GTATGCGACCAGCAGTCAGATTGGTCTGGATTCTCATGAGCAGTATACAGCAGATCAGCTACCTAACGTGGATGGAAAAACTGAGTGATTCATGTAATGGGTCAAAATTTAAACCTTATCTCGATATTATATTTACTGTGTACTTTCTTGTGCATCATTAGGGTTACTTGACTGATGTTGCTTGCGATACTTTCATGTCATACAACTTGTTGCTTTCTGTGCTTTAAATAAATGCAAGTTCAACTTTGCATAACCTAGTGGATATTCCTAGTTTCATCTTGTGCTATTTCTGTAACTCTTACAGTAGCTGTAGAAACCACTGCTGTGGACCAATGCTAACCACTGCATAAAAAGACAGCTCCAGCTTGGAAAAATCCGTACAATGTGTAGAAAGTAAGTGAACATTAGCCGGGGATCTCTGGAAAGTTAGCACTCAATATACCTATTCTTTCTTGAGTTGGGGTTTTCTTCAACTTTGTTTTATACCCAACTCATGGGTAACATTTCCCACTCCCCAGCAGTAGCAGTCAGAAAAAGGAACTAAAATGTTAAACCTGTGGCTGAGAGATCAAAGCATGGCATTTTTCTTGAATAAATAAAACCAGAATCTACTGCTCTGTTGTCTCATTTCTTTTCAGAAACTAATTCTCTACAACCTGCAATAATAAATGCTGTTCTAAGTCTCAGGGAATTTAAAAATTCAACAATAACATTCTGTTAGTAGGACACTGCAGTTACTTAGGCAATCACGATAGCATCTGTTTTCAAAATATAATTGTTACATGGTAAAATTCTTGGACATTAGTTAGATTAGAAAGTAATGCCATGCTCATTTAGGAGTAATTTTATAATACGAACATTATGCTATCACAAAATTACCCCATTGATTCTGTTATAAATGCGATTTGTTTCCTTAATGTATTTTTCTCTGGAACGCTTTGCCAACCATAAACAAGTACCTATTTTCAATAAACACCAGCAGAAGCCTCTTAAGGTGCCAGGTCTCAGAGCCAAGTGAAAGCATGTCAATCTCAGCTTTCTTCTGTAGGCATCTAAGCCTCTGGATGTAAAAAATACAAAGTGAAAACCTAACCTGCAGGCAATGCAATTGCAACTTGCTTGCAATGTTCTTAAGCATAAAAAAGAGGAAAGTAACTGTATATAAATACATGGTCTTATGTCCAATTTTAAGCCAGTGTCCTCCATTTTTGAGATTCAATTATTTAATAGTTGGGTGTTGACAGTGCTGCATAACTAGCTGACAGAGACAGTGCATGAAATGAATCGCAGTTCCTACAGCTCTTCTGGGGTGAAAAGATTTTGTTTGCTTTTGAGGAAGTGGAGAAGAGAGATCCTTGCAGACAGCAGGAACAGCAGCTAATCGTACCCCACTGTGAAATGATTCAAATACAAAGGGGGAGATCTGCCTTCCTCCTAGGTGGAGGCTTGTGTTTGCTGATCACAGGAGCCAGCACTGTGGTGGAAGGATAGTTTTTAGCTAACAAAAGTACTTTTGCCTGCTGCAGATATTATTCCAGGTGCTCAGTTTGGAAAATGGCAATACCAATTCCAAGAAAATGGTTTTAACAACACAAGATATCCTGTTGATAGAAAATCTCATTATCATGAAAGAGTGTTGAGCAAATTACTGTACTATTTAGGCTTGTTTTACAGATGGAAGAATTGTGTGTCTGCTGCCTCAGAACCTTTCATCTTTTATCCTTACTGACGTGCGCTTGGTAAAATAAAAGAAATTTATATAATTTACAAATGTTCTTTTCCTTTGCAAATCTTAGTGTTCTAGACAGACCAGTAAGTATCATCTCATTTTACAGCAGAATTAAAGGCAGAGGGAAATTAAGCAATTTTTGAAGGGTAGCAAAAGGAGGAACACAGCCAGATTTTCTTCAATTATGTTCGTCTGTTGGACCACGAGCTTGAGGATGCTGAAGGATAACATTAACTCTTATCTCTACTGTGTGCTGGACCAGTGCAGCAGCTATGTTGTAGTGGCAAGAATAAATGATGCACCACGAACTTTTCTACCATTTGTTATCAAAGCACGCACAGTAGTAAGTTAATTGGGCTTCTTCTCATCTGGGCTATGTTTTGGGAATACCAAATGTCAAAGACCTAAGCTAGCCCTAACTATGCAGCTCTCTTCGTGTAAGCTCCATTTTACCTGTAATGTTCTTGCTAGATAAAAAATCCCGGTGATAGAGGACACTTAGTGCTGAAATCAGTATGGGTGACCTAGGTTCTGTTCAAGTAACTATAACTGTCTCTTTTTGCTGTTATTTTTATTACTGCAACTCCTGTATATCCTCCCAATACAAGAATTTCAGTGGCCAAATTTAGCGTGAAACACATAAGCAGTGGCAATCTCTAATTTTTAACAGTTCACAAACAGAAGCTAAATATGCAAGAATGAATTGTTGCATGTTACTGTCCACCCAAAAAGCTAGAAAATTTTCCAGATACCAAACAGTACTGGTATTTGAGTTGAAAAGCATGCTGATAAAATCCTGAAGTAGCAATCTGCCTCTGGAATAAGAATGTCTACATAGGGTGTTAAACATGTAACAGAAGGAAGATATCACACCTACCTAATAAACCTCCTGATGTTGACTGATCTTAACTTCTGACCCCATAATATGGTCCCTGAAGATGGACTACTGTGTAAAACCCTGCTCTTTCTCCTGCAGGACTGAGCAAGCCTGGAGCTTACATTTTCCACCTTAAACCAAACAGGAAGTCTGCAGCCAAATTGCAGGGTGAACGTGCATCTCCTGAGCTCCAGTTCAAACTGGACTTCTAAAGAAGATATTTTGCCTCCCCTTCAGTTAAGAATCTCATTCAGGTTTCATTTTCTTTATAGGTTTCTCATAATCTGTGACTCTCAGACTTTCATATGCCAAACGTGTCCATGACTCACGTCAGCTGATACCTCCATGGACAGACAAGGAGCAGCATGAGCAGTTCCTCTCTGCCACATGTGTGGATTGATTCGCAGTGTGCTGAGTGCAGCACTGATCAAAGGCAGCTCAGTGGGATTCAGGATCCTCAGCTGTGCTCCCAGTGTCACAGCTAGCATCCAGAGAAGGCTGGAAGAGCAGAAGAAAGGGGTGAGGAGGAGGGAAGAACAGAGGCTCTCAACTTCAGTGTGAAGTTGTTTGATTCAGAACTAGAGGATTTACCTTATGTATCTTCAGCTTTATGTATTCTTTCCCCAGAAAGTCTCACAAACAAGGTTACATCACAACATCTGATGTGTAATTTTTACAGGAATAACCAAATGTTTTACTCCTTCATTACCTTGTCTATCAGCAGGCATTTGCCTAAACAAGAAGGAATCATCTTAGGACAGCAGACATATTCATTACATGGATAAATCTAGGTGAGCTTGGGAACTGAGATACTGTGAGATCACAGGAATATTCCCACTAGCAAAAGATGATGATTCATCAGGAAATGCTAATGTAGAGTCACAGGTAGAAAAGTAATGTTCAGGTTAGAAGCACAAATATGTTGGATTTGCTTGTCTTAAACCTAGTTTCCAGTATTTGTTTCTGGTAGGGCTTTTTTTGTTATTGTTGTTTTTGGGGTTTTGCGTGTGTGTGTGTGTGTTTTGTTTGTTTTTTGGTGGATTTTTTGGTGTTGTTTTCTTTGGTTTTTTTTTTCTTTAGTTCTCTATGGTGATTTTAACTTTTGGTTAAGATTGTTTGGAATTGATCATTAAAGCAAGCTGGTGAAAGAGATCTAGCACTAGGTTTGTACATCCTAGTCAACACTAGAGAAACATAACTGCTGAGTAGTTTCAGCTAAAGACAGACCAGTGGGTTCATCTGATTCAAGAAATACCTATAATTACTCTTCCATTGCCTTGTGGAACCCTATTACCCTACCCCAGAACTTCTTGAACACCAATTCTGGGCAAGCAGAAGTACACAGTTGATATGGGCAGATATGGTGTGGTTTTGGTACACTGAGGGAGGAGAGAAATCTGTGCTTCAGTCAGGATCACGTAAGGAAGGAGACAGGTCTTTGAGGGTTGTGCTGCTTCAGCTTTCCTGCTTGTGCTCTGTGCTATTTGCTATTAGCACTTGATAGATTCACTCATGGTGGCAGCAAAGCATCTTGAACCAAATGGTGTTGTCATGACCAAGGGATTAACGCTAGAGCCTCCAGGTCTGGCTGGATCGCCTACATTGACTCAGAATGGCTGCATACTTCACATTATTTCACCTGGCTATATCGGGGGGATTTTCTATGCAAAAAAATGACCAGTCTCCTTGGCATAAAAGTGAAGTGAAATGAAATGAAATGAAATCAAAGGTGGAGAGAGGGCTTGTTCTGTGCAAACTATTGCCAAACACAAGGCAGGTGCGCCTCTGCCTCTAGCATTAAACCTCTCAGTGCTCACGCTGCCCTACCTCACCCGCAAGAACAAAAAATCTTCCAGTCTTTTTACTTCAAGATATTTGAACTGACCTTCAATGCGGAATGCAACCTGAATGCAGCAGGGGTGACGACGGGTAATTAAAATGCAGCCTGTAAAGCATAAGCCACGTATTATTACAGCCATTCTCCCTCTCCCTCTCCCTCTCCTCTCCTTCCTCTCCTCTCCCTCTCCTTCCTTCCTTCCCTCTCCTCTCCTTCCTTCCCTCTCCTTCCTCTCCCTCTCCCTCTCCTCTCCCTCTCCCTCTCCTCTCCCTCTCCCTCCCTTCCCTTCCCTTCCTTCCTTCCCTTCCCTTCCTTCCCTTCCCTTCCTTCCCTTCCTTCCTTCCCTTCCCTTCCTTCCCTTCCTTCCCTTCCCTTCCTTCCCTTCCCTTCCTTCCTTCCCTTCCTTCCCGCGCGCCCCTGGCGGCAGGAGCGCTCCCGCCCCCCCCTCCCACCGCTGGCGACAGCGCCCCCTGGCGGCGCCCGCGCGCGCGCAGAACGGGGCCGGCCGCCCGGGCGCGTGCGCGGCTCCGCCCCCGCCCCCGGGCGCGTGCGCGGCGGGAGCATCCCGTGGCGGCGCGCGGGGACGCACACCCCAGCCATGGTGCTGGAGACCTTGGCCCGCATCGTCAAGGTCCAGCTGCCCGCCTACCTCAAGCGCCTGCCGCTGCCCGAGAGCGTCGGCGGCTTCATCCGCCTCACAGGTGAGCGGGGGCAGAGGGAGCCCCTTCCCGCCCCTCCGGCTCCCGCCCCTCGCGCCGGGGCGTCGCGCGCTGTCTCCGTCACGGAACGGGGAACCCCAAACCCTAAAGTGTCCCAGCGGCGGGAACGACCCGACGGACGGGAGGTCTGGGCGCCCTGGGAGGGAGGCGGGAGCTGTCGGGACAAAGTGCGGCGACGGAGTGAAGTGTTGGCGTTGTGCTTAGAAATTGCTCTCGGTGCCGACGCCGGCGAGCCAGAGGCCGTGAGAGCGTACAGGGAATGGGATTTTAGCTGGAGGCCTGAAACATGGCCTCGTCCTCTGCTTCACAGGCTGAGGGCGGCATTTGTACCGAGTTTAAAAAAATAATAAAAAAAATCTCATTCTGGCAGCCTGCTACATACAAAAAATTAGCTTGGTGTTTTTTTTTTTTTTTTTTCCCCTTTCAGTTTAATATTTCTTCCTAAGTATTTTCCGGGTAAGGGAGTGAAAAATACCAGTTCATTCATCGTAGCGCTGTCACATAGCGAACAAGAAAGAAAACAGAATAGTGGCGAGTTCTCTGGCTGTTCAGTGCTTTCCAGTGCTCTGCAAAGTGTGGCTCCCAGAGCCCAGGGTCGGCTGCGCTAGTACAGGCGGGACCTCAGGCAGTGTCGAGTGACAAGATTAGTTCGGCGATAATAAATAACAGGAATGCTCTCAGCAGAAACTCACCGAGAGTAGAAAAATTCTTCAAAGGGCAGAGTCAGCCTTGTATCTCGCAGCGCTAAGGTGTCCTGTGACCGTAATAGTGATGGAAAATTGTTAAATTTAGAACAGGCACAATTTATTTAAAGCCAGGTTTGAGTACTTTGTTTTCCGTGTTTATGCTGCTTGTAAACTGTAAGTCCCCATAATCTTTCTCAGGACAAGCAAACCTCTTTTGAATGAACAGATCTTCTTTTTCCACAACTACTCTTTCATTTGAAAAAACTGTTAATTATATTTACCAAATAGAGAAATTCAGCTCCTACAAAGTTGGGAGGAAGGGGATAAAATAAGCTACATAACAACGCAGATTCTCCTATTCCTAGCATTTGTCAGTTTCCTACTTAAGTCATTGCCCTTTTAATCACAAGTTGACAAAATTTATTAAGCTTAGTAATACTTTAGTTTCTTATTGCTTCACTTTTCCAAACGTGTATTTCTGTAACAGCATTATTTGTGCAGTCCGTATTTATTCACAATACATAGTAGTAATACAGTTTATTCTGAAAACCTCTGAGAAAACATTCTGAAAACCAGTCAGGACTCGTTTGGTTTTTGTTTGGTTTTTTTCATTGAGTGATCAGTGGGGGAGAACTGTTCTGCTGTCATGTTATTTACCCCATTGACAGATACTTTCTTGAATTTGAAGGGAAAGCAAGAAGCAAACAACTGGTATCCTAAGTGAAGACAAAACATGGGAAATGTCAGTTCAAAAAATATTAAACAGGGGTAAAAGAAGGACCAAGTCAGAAATTGCTTTTGAGAACTGATAGAATTTAATGAGCATACCTGAAAAAATTCTTTGCCTCAGTGATTTTTTTTTGACTGGATTCTAAAACTGGGAAATGAAGGTATAATTAAAAATACATAGCTATAGAAACAACATTTTTACAATTTTTTTTTTTTTAAACGGTAAGCTAGAATAGTGTCTGCTGTCATGCTTATACATCTCCCTCTTAGGGTGGATGTGAATGAAAATGGAAGAAAAAAAAGCAAAACTGTACAAGGCACTTAAAGTAACAGCATAGGGTAAATGCAGTGTGGTGAGACTTTCGAAAAGGAAATCATAGGACATCTCATCCTAGGCACCTAAATTAAAAAAATATCATCTCTTAGTGCTTAAAGGTTATTGAAAGTCATTCAAACATTGTTGCTCATTGAGTCTTGTGCTTACATGCACTCAGAGCTGCTGTCAGTCTTAAGTTTCACGTGAGAAAATGATTGCTTCAGCAAATGCTGCCTCTTCTCTATTGCTGCTGTGGTCATAGTCCGTCCTGCCCTTAAGTCATAAGCCTCTAAGAGCAGGGTTATTTTGCAGTGAATTACCAATAGTGAAAGACTGTTAGACAATAGAGAAGATCAGATTAATGTTCTCTTTTGTGTTTACTACTACAAATTACAGAGTATACTCTTTGGCAAAAGGCACATCAAACATGTCAAGCATTTTTCTTTGTTTCTTTTTGGAAAGTGAGAAATAATATTGATGTAAAAACACTTAAGGTGCATTAGTATCTGTCCTTTGGTGGCATCTCTAGGGACCAGCACTATAAAACACTTGCTAGCATAGACCTTGTTTGCAAAGGCAGGTCACATCCTAGATTTGGAACAGTGCAGTCCTTCGCTTGTTAGCTCTTTTATTGCTTCTATAAGCTTCCATTATCTTCCAGGCAGATGCAACCACAGTTCCTGTAGCACATCAGTTGTTGAAACAACAAACCAAAACTATAAGGAGCACCTTTGTTTTTATGGGATGTGTGTTATAGTGTGCTGATTAAAAATCTTGACACTTATGGTCTGTTGTGACCTTACCAAACCAGAATGAAAAACTGCTTGCTTGAAGAGAAAGACTGTTAACATCTAATGCACAACTCCTGAAGGTAAATGCAATAAAGGAGGAAGGAAAGAATGTTTGACCTTGGGTTTGAAAGTGGATATCTAAGTTATCACACTGCTGCTGTTCAGAGGCCTCTTTCAGTGTTCTGTCATAGCTGCTTTAGCCTTCCCTTCTCAGGTTCAGTGAAATGAACAGTGTTGTCTCATGCCAGCATTGCTTTGCATCTTTGAAGGTGTCATTAAAATGGCGCAGACATTCATCTCAGAAGAGCAAACAACTGAACACAGTTAGCATACATCTGCTTATCAGTTCTAAGGAGAATGTAATTAGTAAGTAATTTGAATTTGCATGAAGAATTTCATCACTTTAGAGGATATACAATCACAGTTCAAATCTTCATTTTGTCTGGTAGCTAATACTTGTTAAAATTTTGGGTTGCAGTTGAGCTGTTACTGTAAGAGGCTGCTTTTGGGTCTGCATAGGATCATTTCCACAGAAATTAGCTGAAAGGTAAACCAGAGTGAAAGGTATCAAAGTAGTAGTTGATGGAAGACAAGCAGGGAACACCTGCTTTGATTTGACTCTTGGTGTCTGACCTGTCCCTTTCAGTTCCCAGTGTATGTGTCTCTTATGTTGTTGGACTTGTTGCTGTTGGACTAAAAATTACAACAGCCTCTCCTTGAAAATGTAACTGTGGCCTATGGTCCGTGGCCCATGGTCCGTGGCCTCAGCTTCTTGGAATTCTCTGGTCTCTGATACTTTCCAGAACTTTTCTTAGGGGTCAGTCTCTGTCTAACACAAGTTAGAAGACTGACCTCTTCGATATACTACTCTTCATTTCTGTCTCCAAAGGCTGCCTCTTCCCATGCAGCAGAACTGATAAAGGATCTCCAGAATTCTTCAGAAAGGTATGAATGGCTTCAAAAACACAGAGCAGCTTACAGTTGTAGGAAAAGACATCACTGCATTAGTTTGGGTGAAGCTTTTCTCTCACTGCTGCCCACCCAGCCCAAAGATCTCTGACTTTTTTTACTTTGTCACAGTATCTTGCATCTCTTGCTCTAGAAGCACGATGATGTGGATTTTTCAGTTTAAACACATGAACTTCTAGTAGTCTTTTGGCAATAACAAGTCACTTTATGATTAGTGTAAACACTGGTGTAATTAGGGGCTTTCCAAAGGCTCCCAGATTAGAAATAAGCAAAGAAATCACTGGCTAGTGGGAACAACTATTTATCAGCAGTTAGCATGGTAAAAATATTAAATAATAACTATTATAAATAATATCCTTGTACTTCCTATTCATGTTTGTTTTTAATTTCCCTTCTCAGAGGTTACAGCTATCATGTTCCTGTTTTCATTTGGATGAACCTAACTAGTTATGAGTCTCCCATGACTACTGTTCTGATTTTGATGTTGTATCAGAGAGTTTCGAACTATTTTGAGATCATAGAATCATTGAAGGTGGAAAAGACCTCTGAGATTGTTGAGTCTGAGATCATTGAGTCCAGCCTTTAACTCAGCACTTCCATGTTCACTGCTAAACCATACCCCCTAAACCAGAGTGCCTTGAGAACATTTTGAGGGATGACAACTCCACCACTTCCCTGAGCAGCCTGTTTCAAAGTCTGACCACACTTTCAGTGAAGAAATTTTTCGTAATATTCAATCTAAACCTCCCCCAGCACAACTTGAGGCCATTTCCACACATCCTGTCACTTGTTACCTGGGAGAAAAGGCCAGATCTTCCACATGGGTACAACCTCTTTTCAGGTAGCTGTAGAGAGTGATAAGGTCACCCCTCAGCCTCATTTTCCCCAGGCTAAACAGCCCTGGCTCCCTTAGATGCTCCTCATCACACCTGTGCTCCACTGCCCTTCTCTGGACTCGCTCCAGCACCTCAATGTTTTTGTTGTAGTGAGGGACCCAAAACTTCAGTGAAGTAATTACTGACAGTTCTTGCAGTGCCTTTAGGATTTTTGCAGCTATGATGGATTTCCAGGTAAATGCACTAAGTGAGGCTGTAATGTCAAAGGCTATAGAAAACACAAAGAACATAAAATTAGTCCCACAAAGTATTTTCATCACATGGTGTACTTCCAGAAAAATCAAATTTTTAAGAAAAATCTACTGTATTCTAATTGGAAAAGTATTAGCATAACTATGTGCTCTATTAGTACAAATAAAATCAAGCTATACACAATAATGTATTTTCTGAGAGCTACAACCCACGTAGCATCCTTAGTCTGCTCTATTGCGTTTTTTCATAATCTTAATTTCAAAAAACAAATTGCAAAACAGAATTTTGCTGTGTTCTGATCCTAAATAATTTAGAAGAGTAACTTGATTGAAGTGTCGTCTTACAAAGTGCTTGTGCAGCTGTTTGTGCTCCAGCTCATTATACTACTTTGTTTTGCCTTTTTAAAGTATTTTTAAAATCTCTTCTCTATGAGTATTTAGAGTTAATATATTCTTCAGAAATTCAAAAAAATGCTATCAACCTTTATTTCACCATGGTATTTAAATGTACACTGGAGTATTGTCACAGCATGTTCTGCTGGAAGAGTGCATCCACCTTCAATATATATATAGATCTTATGCAAAGTATTGATGAATTTCTTAAAAAGTTCAGTAAGTCTTCTCTCACCAGTATACCTAGAAGATTTATAATGATACAGGAAGGCACACAAGCCTGCAGAGGATACTTGTATCTTTTACCTGTACTTAAAAGAGGTTCCTTATTTTGGTAAAAAGTAATTCCTTGCCACTTGAGTTACTGACCTCAGGTCTCTTTCTCTGACCTGTAGAAACTTTTTTGCAGATCCCTGAGCAGAGGTCTGAAAAATAAACTCAAAAAGATTGGGAAAGGTTTTGCTAGTGTTTGCCTAATACTCTGCATAATTTCAACCAAAGGTTTCTAAATAAACTTGGAACAAATAAAATGATAAAAACTTCCAAGAAGAGAAAAACCTGAAATAAGCAAATAAAAATTCAGTTATAAAATGTATTGAATAATTTTTCATGTACCGAGTGTTAAGATACCTGCAATGAGTATACTTACCCCATGTAATCATGCCCAATTTGCTAGCACAAGTGCTGGTTTAATGCAAGTGAGCAGAACACCTGTAATTTTAAGGTTCCCCACTCCAGTAAATCTTGTTTTGGATTTATTCTCTTCCACTGAATCATCTTCTAGAGTCTTAAAATGTAGATGAAATTCTAGGAGTCAGATTTTTACTTTGGGTCTAGTAAACCCCAGGATTTAATCTGTGTTTTCTTTCTTCATAAGATTTACCTATGGAGTCTTGCTTGCCCTCAGAGCTTTGCTGACTGAGCAACTCCATTCCCTACCCTCAGCCTAAGCCATTTTAAAAGCAGCTGACACTGCACCAAACTTAAGTGCCAGTCTAAATCCTACCTGTCTTTAGTTTCAGAATGGCTGCGGTTGTTGCCTTTCCTGGGTGTGCTGGCCTTGCTCGGTTACCTCGCTGTTCGTCCCTTCCTCCCCAAGAAGAAGCAGCAGAAGGATAGCTTGATTAACCTTAAGATCCAGAAGGAAAATCCCAAAGTAGTGAATGAAATAAACATCGAAGATCTGTGCCTCACTAAAGCTTACTGCAGGTGTTGGCGTTCGAAGACGGTAAGACATTGTGCTGCTGTAGGATTGGAGATTGAAATTTGCATGTTTTTATCAGTGCTTCAGTGGTGAATGTTGACCTGTTGTTCATATTAGAAAGAAAGTAAGAGTGGGCCTGTGTTGGTGAGAGGAAGCATATCCCCATCAGGTTCAGAGCAGTCAGATAACTGGTTTGGACAGTCTGTCCCTGAAATCAACCAGATGTTAATGAGCATTTTTCATCTAGCCTCAGTTTGAATTTCCTGATTCAATTTTGAATGTCCTGACTGCACTCTAGTTTTGTCCTCTCTGGACTGAATGCTTTCCTGTTTTAACAGAAAAAATTTGCCCTGAACTGAAGAAACTCACTCAGCTATTTTCACTTTGGACTAATCACTTCAGCCAAGTATTTCAGCTTTTCTTTAAAAAAAGCTGGTTGCAGATGATAAAATCAATTCAGAGCATTTCCACAATAAATTTTAAACCTTTGTAGCTGTGTTGGCTGCTGTGCTTGCTGTTCTTTCATGGAAAAGGGTTCATCCCTAACTTTGTGTCTAAGAACAGCTATTTTAGGACCTCACAAATCTAGTTACCCATTAACAGTGTTTGTTTTCCATAGTATCATGTGTCCTCTGTCTGATGGGAGACAGAGAGTTTGATGTTGAAACAGGACATAGTAGGAGGTACTAGCAACATTATCAAAGTGCTCTTGGTATAGGAAGAAGTATAAAAATCACCTTGCAATTGCTGTACAGAGTTATTCTGATTCCTCATGTCTCTTTTCTTTCAGTTCCCTGTCTGTGATGGCTCCCACAACAAGCACAATGAATTAACAGGAGATAATGTAGGTCCACTAATACTCAAGAAGAAAGAAGTATAGCAGATGTTTAATCCCTTAGATCCTGACGGATAATGTCTTTTTATACCATTGTAGTTGCAAGGGGCAGCATTTTATTATGTGATTGGTATGATTTAGTTTCATGATTGCTGTAGATTTCTTTCTGGAATAAACTACATTTAGACAGTGCTGAATTTGTCACTGTTTTGATACCTTATTCTGAGAAGAATTTTGGCTACTTTGTAAATTACTTATCTCTGTAAATAAATCATTTATTTCAACAATAAATTGACTTTCTACAACTAAGCCTTTTTTGTATGAACATGCAATTATAAAACTGTCACTGTTTCAAGTGACAGAAGTGCACTTTTCTGTTTGATTTTGTTCTGCTGAGAAGCCATGTTGTATTTGGCTTTTCAGCAACAAATTCAAGTGCACTGCAGTGGGGGAGAAAAAAAGATACTAAATTCATCCTTTGTGAATGTATATTCAGGCAGGCAGCATAGCAGTGTTAAGGTATGGCAGCTGAAGGTCTGGCCTGTGCAGTGCCTACGTGGGCAGTCTGTTAGTCTTATGCAAAGTAGCCCAGCTCAGACAAACCTCACCCAGCTGGAGGGTTTCCTGCAGCATCCTAAATGGAGTGCTGCAGTTTCAGACTGTATAAAAACTACTGAGCAGGTCAGCCGCAAACATTACCCCTTTATTTCAGGCCCCTGTGTTGATTGTTCATGAGCTCTTGGGAGGAAACACCAATTTGCTTCGTGCAAGTTCACTTGCACTGTAGTCAATACTTGTTGCAACAGGACCTCTCATGGGATGAATGGGTTAAATGACAGAACCATGGATGCAGAGCTGAGCTGGTACCCATTCAGAATTATAATTTAGGCGAGTCAGGACTTTGCTGTGATGTGGCTTAATTTCAGATGCAGGTAAATAATTGCTACTTACCTAACTGCTAGACTTCCAATTATTCTGAAGTGCTTGATTCTCCCATGAAAGACTGTATCCATCAGTTTAAAAACAAAAATTTGATCCATGCTACAGTTTTAGACAATTGTACTGAGACAGATTTCAGGCATTCCTTAACAGCATTTCATTTGACCCATTGTTAGGCAAGTGGGAAGCCCCAGAGCTGTTGCCAAAGCTGATCACCACAGCGCTGAAACAGAAAGCAAGTCAGAAAGCTGTTCCCACATAAGGGCTCTTGAAACAGCAGCAGAACTAAGGTAGATCATTCCTCCTCTTTTTGTAACCGTTGTAGTTCCAGGTACCAAAACCTCTTGCCTTGCAGCAAAAGCTGGCAGATTAGAATGTGATTATGTGTTCAATGCCTACTTTTACAGAGTGTGTAAGAGAACCATGGTATAACCTCTAATGTATTAATTCTTCATGGTGGTCTTACTTTAACGGATAAGCAAAGCATTAACATAATAGTATATAACATTTAAAATAGATAAAAATGTATAATGTTAAGTGTCTTATAGTCAGTCCTTGCTTAGGGGTGTATGTTAAACACCAAGCCCCAATTCTTGGGTTTGGTGAAGAAGTTACTGTGAAATGCAAAAGCCTGTCTTTTTTTGATTTTTTTTCCCAGGCTCTAAAATCCACAGCCCCTTGTAGCAGGCTGTTATTATATAAAGCCCTGTATGTACTTCCATCCTTTATCAGGATACTTTTGTATTCAAATAGTTTGGTTTCCTCTGAAATCAAAACCAAACCAGTAAAACTAAGACAAACCTTGCTGAAGTAGTACAGCAAAATTGGTTTTGATTCTCCCAAAAAGCTCCTTTAAAAGCAGAACAACAGTGTAAGGTTTAGCCTCTTCACTTCATCTTTAATACAACTTGATTGTGTAATTAGTTTTTTTCCCTACCTGCTCTTAGAAGAGATTGCTGTTAAACTATCTACAAGTGTGGCTGTGGAATAAACAGGAGTTGTTTTGGTTTTTTGTGCTTATGTCTGTATGGGAATGGAACACATCTGTAGTGTTGCAAAAGTAGCACTCAGTCACAGTTCCTTTGTAGAAAGGATGTTTTAGTAATTCCCACAAGATAATAATAGAATAAGAATCACAAGCAAGATAAATTAGCATTTCCTTGCATTTCAAAATCTGTCAAGGTACTACTGTCTCATGGACACATAAATTTCTATAGAAAATCTCAAAGAATTTGACTAGTCGGTTCAGTCCGTGAATTCTATGTGAAGTCTACAGAGATAGATAGCTAAGAGCTGAAGTGCTTGCAGAGCCCTGTATTTCACCAGCAATAGAGTGAGTTGAACCAATTACCTGACTTGTAACCTAATTTGGAAGCTCCACACAAAGGGATAAATTTGCCTTGAAGGCTAAATTTAGATCCAGAACTGAGGTAGCGGATCAGGTCTTCACAGTCTCAATGAAAAACCAGGGGAAACTGAAACTGGCATGAGAACAGTAATGTTTACCTTTCTTTTGATTATAATTTGAACCTTTTTATAATTTGAATCTAATAGTTAGATTAGGCTACAAATAAACTTGCAAGTTTAGAGAAAGATGTTTGACTTGTGGCAACTACTAGACAAAGTAAATGTAACTGAAATGCAGCTGACCCAAAATCTGATCTCTTTCACTCTGTTTATTACAAAAGCAAAATGCAGAAACTGTCATTCCTTGTTTTGTGGCTGTATTACACCATGACTGTTTCACAGTTAATTTCAGGCTTCAGCCTAAATTCCTTAAAAAGCTGTTGGGCTGAAAAAGAGAGAGTAAGCAGTGATTATAATTACATTATCGCTGCATCCCTTGGCCTGTGCAATTCCCTGCTTCCAGATGGCCAATTTCTGTCTTCTCCCATATGCTGCCTGCTGTAACTCTGCCCAGTGCTGGCTGCCAGGAGTGCTGTCAGACCTTCTGCTGCAGAGGTTCTTCTGAACCTTCTGGAACGGCACGTTCAGCGCTCTCCCACACTATGCCTATGATTGTGTCTGCATGAGAGCAGGATTCCTCTGGTTATCAGCTACTGCACCTTGGGCTCTAATTTTACTTCCTGTGAATAAGAGACTGGCATGGCGTAAAGGTGCTGTTGGCTTGAATTTATGCATTATTCATTAATGATTTCCATGGTGTTTTGTTAAAAGGGAGGTGGTCTTGAATGTGGGTCTAGACCCACATAAAAAGCTAAAAATTGAAATCCTATCTCTCCAAGTTAACTGCTATTTAAAATCTGCTGAAATTGTCATGATACTTATTAAAAAGCAAAATATCTTAGGTTCTTAGTCCTCATATAAGATTCCTTTTCATGACAAGATGCAGGTGTTTTCTTCCTTTCCAGAAGGCAAGGAGAAGAGCATGATAAAGCTTTAATGCTTTTATTTTTAGATCTGCAGGTCTATGTAATAGCTTCAACCCGAATCTTTTTGAACATTTAATAAAGCTGGGGGACAGGAGTCTTGTAAGAAATATCCACATCAGGTAGCAAAGAAAGAAAAATGCATTCCATTTCATTTAGATTAGCAAAGAAGATCACACTTTTCTTTGGTATAGCTATTCAGGCACTCAGAATGGTGGAAGTGATCTAATGCATAACTTGAGAGTACATTGAGGTTAAGGGGACATGGTAAATCTGATTTATGAGATGCTGTTATGGCAGTGAGGATGTATTAGAGGTTATCATGATCAAAGGCTCTTTGTCAGAGGTTGCATACTTAAGGTTGTGTCTCAAATTTAAATGGCTGTAATCCTTACAACATCACACTTCTGTTATTGACCGGATTCCAAATTTGGCATAGTGATCCCTGTGGGAGGATTCAGCTTTTTATAAAACTTTATGAGAAAGTGAACTCCTTTAAGTTTTACTCAAGTGGAATTATTTTACAGACTTATGCTCACTTATGAGCACTGCATTCCCTCACCTTGTGAGTTAGGTTTATAGACGTCACAATTTCCAAATACAACAACCTCCTATTAAAACCACCCTTATTTAAGGAACTTCCCTTAGCCATGGAAAGTGGGCAGAACAGGCACAGAAGTCAAGGGCTGACACAATAACCACCAAGCGCAGCACCCTTAACCATTCATGCACAGTTTGAAAGCATCTTTTCAGGTCAGGAGCCAAACATGAACTGAACTAAAGATGGTACATTCCCAAGGAAGCAGAGAGAACAGCAGTGTGTATAATAAAAAAAACAACAGTGTACTTGACAACTGTTAGAGGAAAAATTGCCAAAGAATTTCCTGGTATTTTTATCACTGTGCTGGAATTGCAGGCTATGAACCTTAAATATTTCTCAGGAAGCTTTCTCAAAAAGATCAAATTCGACATGAGCATTGCCAGTCATTATCATGATCCACAGCCACACACATCCTGTGTTTCTGGAAAGACCCACAGGATCTGTGTGTACATGCAGACGGTGCTAGTGCTGTGTCCTAAACACTGCTTACTCATGACACCTGCCTTCCCCCAGCAGCCTTTCTGAAAGCAGGTGAGAATGAGGCTCGTTTTGCTTTGTATCATCCCGCTCTGCACTGCCGTTTTCAAGACTGTTCATTTACATTATATTAGCCTTCTGCATCAGTCAGGAGTAAAAAATGCCCTGGCAAATCTGAGACTCCTCCAGTCTCCAAAGTCAATCCAGCCAGCCGCCTCTTGGAAAAATGAGCACTAACTGGCTATATTTTTAGCAAATACCTGGTTTTCTTTGCTGCAGTTATCCAAATGCAGATGTGAGAGGGACCCAGTCATAGCATTTTCTCAGCCAGATGGGTATTAGGACAAGGCAACAGGAGATCCCAGCTGGCCCATGAATCTTGGTGAGGAGAAGTATACTGCTATTGCTGAGTTCCCTAGAAGGAGCTGAGGCCTTGCCCTGTCAGCAAACCCTACCTGTGAAGAGCTCTCCCATCTGTCCTACAGGGGCCAGCACCAGAACACAGCCACTCTCAGTGGCCAAAGAGCTGGCTTTCCCTCCCTTGACATCATCTGTGAAGGCTGAGGTACACAGGTGAAGAAGCAGCTTTCCCAGTCCCATACAACCCTTTCACATTTCTTATAACCTCCCCACAATCCCATATTCAAACTCTGTCCTTTTTTCTCCCAGCGCCAACACCTGTATTACCACAGTCTGTGAGGGCCCCAACTGTCTCTTTTAGCACAGAAGTACCACTTGCTGTTTCTTGCACTGACCAGATCTGACAGTCCCCTGAAGGCACAGAGGAGTGCATCAGCTGTGAGAAAGAACAGCAGTAGGAAAAGGCAAGCTTTAGAAACACAAATGAGGAAGGAGAGGGAATCACCAACTCTTGGCAGGACTTGTTCAGTATGTGTCAGCAGTCCCTTATTTGGAAGTTGCTTTCTTTGAGCTATTGAACTTGTCATCTCACAGCCCAGTTTCAAGCATCAAGAAGTTATTCACATTAGTCTCTGTTTTCTTCTGTTTGTATTCCAACTCATGACTCCACTCCATGCCTGAACAATTCTAACCCTCTCCCTGGCCTCACCACCCACACATTTTGAGTAACTGTTGACTGCCGAGTGACTCACTGCCTGGTCAGCCTGTTCACTCTATGTTCAGCTATTTCATCTCAAGGCACCATCCACACATAAAAATATTTTACAGAACTCTACCAGGGCTGCTTTAAAAATAGCAGATGTAACTGATACTTGTTTTAGTTTCCTCCAGCGAGATTACAGACATGCCATGTTTACTCAACAAAAGTGTAAGGGTTGAAGGACCGTATTCCTGTAGATGTCTGTCTCACGAAGGTTCACAGGCCTCTGCTTCTTCTCCAGCCTCAGCACCTTCCTCATCCTCCTTGCTATTTGTCTGAGCCTTCTGCAAAAGTCTGGGCCCTGCCAAGCCAATAACCAGGGCTCCAATTGGAGCAGTAATCAAGATAGCCAAGAAAGCTACTGTCAGTACATCCATTCCATACTTTTCCAGTTGCTCATCTTGATGTCTTCTTGCTGTATCCAGGGCAAGAGAACCTATTGCAGCCTGCAGGGAAGAAAACATTGCTGAGATGGAACAAACAACCTTTAGCACTGGAAGAGGAAAAGAAAGGAACCAATCATCAGTCAACATTTCACATAAATTTGACATATTTGGTACATTCAACCCATTAGTTTCTAGGCAGTACATAGAAAAGTAAACATATTACACCTATGAGTACAATTCCACTTGGCTACATTTTGAATTCCCTAAGCTGATGAGTTTATCTGGGTGGTTTACCCCTGTGAAGAACATTGCTTAGCTGCTACCTCATCCACATCTGGAGAAGTGTATTGCATATTGCAGCTGTTCAAATGCCACCCTTTGAGAATTCATCCTGACACTAATCAACTAGTAGTGGTTTCTGAAAATTTGTTCACTAATCTTGCAATAATCCTTGCTTGCTTTCATTATTAACTTTTGTTTTCAAGTAATCATGCTATTGAGGCAAAGTATAAATGACTTAATGGTCACTGAAATAAAGGAACAGGAATGCAGCCAGCCTGAGGCACCTCTAGTAATATGGCTCTCATAGACTGCACCTTACCAAAATGACCACAAACTGAAACCCATTCTGAGTCTCTGATGTGACTGTCCCTGCAGACATTTCATGGGTGAGAGGGAAATGCTTTTGCCTTTTTATTGAGAGTTCTCACAATCTGTATGTAGAGACATAATAATCTGCAGTGGCTGGGAAATAGTTTAACTTCCTACGGCTTAGCTACACTTCACTGTCATTATTAAGAGTACAACGCAGGATACCAGCAAAACACCATCACACAGAAGGTTCTCCATGCACTTTTCAAGCAGAGTTAGGGTGGTTTAGAATATGAACTGTCAATACACTACACTCTGGTGTCACTGAGCCTGAACCTTTCCCTGATTACTGCTGTGCTAGTTACAAGGAGCTTTGCTAAGGACAATAGATTTAAACTGGAATGAAAGTGATGTTGAACTGTTTACCTGGACAGTAGCTTTGGGCATCCATGCCAGTGAGACAAATACTTTCTCCTTGAAATTAAACCCAGCAAAAGACACCATGAGGAACGTTGTTATGATTCGCACAACTAGGGCAATGCCTAATATAGCAACACAGAGCCCTGCAACAAAGACAAACAATTCTCAGTACTGTAGTGCACAGGTGCCTGAGGGGAGTAAGGCTCCTAAAACTGTAGCTTTACAGTGCGGTTGGGTTTTGGTTTTTTTTTTTTTTTTGGGTCAGCCACAGTCTTCTTTGCTTTAGATTTCTTTATAGAGAATCTTTGGAAGATAGTAATGAAAGCTGGATAATCTGAATGATCTTACCAACTGTTTCAGGCCTAAGGGATGTAACAGATACTTCTGCTCCAATTAAACCAAAGAGAAAAGGTTGGAAGATATTCCATGCAACTGCCACAATTTTTTCTACGTCCCTCTGCAATGAAAACAAAACTGATCTGTAAATTCATAAATGATGGCCAAGTAGACAAAACATTTAATTATTCATAGAACAAAGTAAAAATTCATCATAAAGATGTCCAGAATTGCTCCTCCTTTTTTGAGCTAATACGAAAAGATTCAAAATCAGTTGCACCCCTTTCAAAGGTCAGACTGTGTCTAGCTCTGCTAGTAAATAAATGTTTGATAAAAATCACTGGTGTTTGAACAGTAAGAGTGCAGTTTTCAGACAGGAGGAAAATAAAGCATTGTTGATTTTCAGTATTTAGGAAGATGTAATTTCAGCAGCTTTGGCATGAAGTTTCTGAGCCCTAGGAAACTGTCATATTTAAACATGTTCTTCCATTTGTATCTGAGTGCAGTCACACCCTCAAAAGTTTCAGCCATGATCTAGCTCTGCTCATGCTGCACTCAGTCAGAGGCCTCTCTCCATGTCAGCAGGAGCAAAGTTATAGAATCACAGAATATGCCAGGTTGGAAGGGACCCACGGGGATCACTGAGTCCAATGCCTGGCCCTGCACAGGACCGTCCCCAAGAGTGACACCGTGTGCCTCAGAGTATTAGTCTGAGCAAGTCTGAAATCACATACCAGTAACAAGTGCTGAACTTACCAGTGCAATATACTGTATAAAGGCAAAACCATCTTTTTTTCTTATGTTTGAACTTTACACCTAACAATTTTCCTAAAATAACTGCTGCCAGGATAAACAGAAATCTTCCACTTACACGAAAAGGTACACATAGCATATTGAATAGCACTTCTCTTTTTAATTAAGTGTTTTCTACAATAGCAAATGAACCTTCAGGCTGGAGTGTGTGGAAAATGTAAGTGCTGTGCTTTGTCACTTAATAATTAGTCCAAGGCCTAGAGATGTTCCATCCTCTGTGTTCTCTCTGAGACTGACCCTGCAATGCCTCTTGCTCTTCAGTCAATGGAATGGTAGCTACTGTAATACAAAAACTTCTGTAACCTTAGAGAGCTTAAGGTGGAAATATACAGACTTCTAAACGTTATTTGCCTCATTTCTCCTTGTTATCTCACCCTTCTAATTTTTAGCAAAAAAAAAAAAAAAAAAAAAAATCCTCTATAGATTTCAGCCTGTTTACTGCCTATTTTACTGTTCCAGCAGTAGGTACAATGTTCATTGTTCGCTGTGGACAGTGTCTGCCAAGTGACTTCCACCATGGACAGTGGGAGGTAGTGGCCTTTGAGAAGCTTAGCAGGGAGCTTCTGGATAATATACTGAATACACAGTACACAGACATCTCTGGCTGTATCTGCTGAAAAAGACCTAAGGCATTTGACATCAATGTACTTAAGGCCAAGAAGCTTCATTCACAGATCAAAAGAATTTAAACCTTTATAGACTGCATATACTCTTTTAAGGTCCTTCGCCTGAAAGGATCTAAAAGCTCTTCAAAAGAGAACTGTATCAGCTGCAATGTCCTTAACTAGTTCAGTTCCAAGAAGAGTCCTTCATCCTTTAAAACTGGACAACCATAGTTTCTCTTCCGTTGTTTTAACAAACCTTGAGATCTAGATGGGAATAATAACATGGACTCTTCTCTATTTGATCCCCTTTCCTTTCTCTTTTCCCACTGCATGTTGCAAAGCTACAGCTGTGGAAAGATGCCCTCAAAACATTAAATGTAAGATGGTATCAAGCAAAAGAGGCAGTGAGACATACCAAGGTGCAAAAGTGCAGTGGGGCAGCAACAGTACGAGGAAGTAGGCTTAGCAGCTAAAAGAAAGTGACTAGAAAGCAGTCTTTTATATTGTTTTTGTGTGGCCTTAAATCACCAGTTACTGTGTACACCCTGCTCTCTAAGTTATCCACATTACACTGGCTGGGATTTGGGAAAGATGAGACAGAATGGTTAATTACTGTTTTTCATTTCAACTCCCAAGCCCACGGAGAACAAAACCTCAGGGTATTCAGGCCATATGCACAACTAGATTTTGGATGTCTGTTTGTAAATTTTACCTTAAAGTGACTGTGTCTGGTTAGAGACACTCACAGAGCTGGGACATAAAGCTTTTGATTCCTAGTCAAGTGCCTTCACTACTAGGTCTCCTTTACATAGGTTAAGATGTCTAAGAAAAGCTTGAGAGCATTTCTCTGTCAGCAGGCCAGGCTCTGTATCAACATCTACTCACATACCTGGTAACTGTCATGGTAAAGACAGACAAAGACTTACAAAATAAATGTATAATTTTTTTTTTTTTTTTTAAAATCTATATACCCTCTGAAGCTTCACAAATACACCACTACCACTCCTGACAGAAATTCAAACTCCCGTCAGGCTGTACGTTCATTGGAGTTTGGGTATGGTGTGCTTCTTATGTAAACATTCACCTTTTCATCAGCCCATCCCACACCTGCGATAAAGGCTAAGACTAATGTGCAGAGTCCTCCTGATCCAGGGAAGCCAAAGTAGATGCTGCCAAAAACAGAAAACATGGACAATCCAAGTGCAAAATATGATCTCTTCCATGCCAGAGATGCCTGCAGCCAAGGAAACAGACAAAAAAGCAAATTTCTTTAAGAAATGGATGAAAAAAGGTAATTCTTTAAATTTTGAAAAAAAAAAAAAATTAACAATTTTGAAGGACTCAAAGCTTTCAAGTTAGACTTGAACTACTCAGTTGGGTTGAGTTGGGTTTTTTTTTGTTTTGACATTAATTTCTAAGAAATATAAATTTTTAAAATTTAGCATTTTCTTTCCTCTGCCCATCCAAAATCTTACTGCCAATAGGCAATAATAACACAATGCTGTGTTCTGACAGCCTTCCTATCAATTCTGTGATAATGCACAGGATTTTCTACCTGTGCAGTCAAGTACTAAAACAGTTTATCCAACAAGAAGCGAAATCCTTGCCACCACATGCTTTTAAGGACAAGTCAAACAAACGTTTGCCAGGGCCATTTTTATGTGATTCAGTCTCACAGCAGACAGTTCTATCTCTACCATTGTTCCCCATTCCTATCTTATCTATTTTGCTCCTGTATCACACTTCTTATGTTATTTAATAGTAAGAAAATCTGGTCCCACTGAGGGCAATGGATGCTTTGCAAAGCAACTTCAGTAGTCCAGAACAGATCTACTTTCTTCCATAATTTTCTGTTTATTTAATTGTTCCTTAATACTACGTTCATCTACCACTTTCTATAAGCTTAATTGTTATTGAAAGCAACACATTCTAATTAGTGCTAATGATATACTCAATCACTTAAAGCCTCCAGTATGTCTCCTTTATTAATTTTTAATCTTAGGTCTACTGGATACACCTTATAGGAGTAAATGTGTCACATTAATCTAATAAATTATTATGTTACTGTCTGAAATAAGTATCAGACCCTTCCTCCTTTACATGTGGACATTTCCACTACCTTTAATGAGAGCAGGATGGTGAGCTGGTTTCCAAACTGTACATCAGGAAGGACTATGAGATCATATATCCTTATTGATGCAGTGAACAAGTAATCACCTATAAAACACATTGTCACTTGACAGCCTTTGCAAGTTGGAAGCTGTTAGCACTGTGCACAGCTTTCCCAAAATCAGCTTCATGTGAAGCCTGGAAATGAATAACTGAAGAAAATCATCCCATGGTAAAGAATCTCATAAAAAGTTTTTTTTACTGGGTTTTTACCTGATCACGGCTTGGGAAATACCGAATAAACATTCCCAGAATCCCCCCAGTTGCTACGCCAACAGCAACCTCCAGCACTCCGCGGAGCACGTTGTACAGAGTAGAACCTACTTGGCAAACAAAAAATGTGTTCAGTAAGCCACACACAGACCCTTCACACGCAAACCACACTGTAGACCTATGAGGGTGGTTCCAGGACAGTGTCTGCTTTAAATTACTTGGGGCAAGGGAGTTGAGGAGGGAACCTATGGGCCTGAAGGAACTGGATAGTGCAACTTTCTCTCTCTGAAAGCTCATGGCAAGAAAATGTGCAAGACAAGCCAGAGAAAGAGCCACTGCAAGAGCATTGCCAAACCCAGGGAAATTTGAAAGGTTTATGTTGGGCATGCAGGGACCAGACTTGGCAGCTAAGAGCGCAGACAGAGAAAAATGTTCTCTGGAAGTTATTATGACCCACAACTCAGCAGGCAGTGTTACACCAAGACTTTTGAACAAGAGCAATTTCCAACTCAGTATTCAAGTCCATACATGAACTTTATAGGGAGATGTCATTAAGTTACAAACCAGTCAGTAATAACAGAGCACATGTTCTTCAAAATATCCCTCTTTGTTCTGAATTTCACCACGTACAGATTAACCAGCATACCGGAGGAGAAAGCCATCCCAAGGCAAGTGTTGAAGCCTGTGATAGCCAGAATGTCATCAATGCTGCCAGCTGCCATTAGCAAAGTTGGGACACCTTTCTCCACCCCATATCCCCCAGCTTGTAAAATCAGCATTGAGGGAACCACCACAGCAGGGGAGACTGCACCTATAACAAAACTGAAAACACATAGGTTCAGGCTCTGTTAAAAAGAAAGGACTGAACTAAAAAAATTCAAAATGTTCTGGCCCCATGGTCAAATTCTTTTGAAGTGTAAAAAACCAGACCTTTACATAAGGTATTTTCCTTACCTTTCCCCTCTAATTACAAGCAGGGATATTTCTATGCAAATTGTAATCAGCTCTTACTTTCTGCCCAACTCAATAGTATTAAAAGGGCTCCAGACTAAAACCTGAGGCTACACTGCAGGCCAGTTATGCTCCCCCGATAGATACCTTGATTGTTCCATTTAGGAACCCGGTCTAGACATGCTTATGACTCAGTAGCCCATTCCTTCTCATAAAATTCAGTGTGTGGAAGAGGAGTTCACCCATCTTGTTCCAGTATAGGGGTCTTGACTACATCCACCAATTTAGATAGAACTAGAGGGAAAATATTTTCTCTTCAAGGATATTACTCCAGAATTATCCACACCATATCCTTATCCTGCGACTTGTGATAGGAGGACTGTCCTATGTGCATCTCTCCTGGGGGAAATTCTGAATTCCAGTACGAAGATTCTCTAAGTTGTGGTAAAATTTTCTGTCCCTAAAAGCCCCCTGTGTTGTGGTTAAAGACTCAGGGATTGCACCATCCTTCTTCAAGTGCTCAGATCACAAACAAAGAAGAGTAATGATGCAAATACTCCTCCACAGCCTGGAAATATGACCTTTAAATCAGCCACAGAGCCAGAAATGAATGGAAGCAAATGACCACAGGGGCTAAGCACAGCTTCCTAACTGGCATTGACCTGAGGTCTCCGCTTGGCGTAGAGAACTAACCATACTTGGATCATTTAACTGCAGCATGAAAACAGGCACCTCGTACAGGAGAAGAGAAGATACGTTACCCTAATATAAATCCCCACTGCCACGGCAAATGCAGGAGGAAGTAGGCAAGAACAGCAGCTATGCATGTTTCTGAGAGGCACGGTCCAAAAGCAAGCCGTAAACAGACTGCTTTGAGCTTCTTAAGAGCCTGCAATGATACAAGCACATCAGTGGCTGTACCCTTGGCTTTATAGAGAGGAAATACAGTTACAATCTGATCTGGTGTATTAAAAGAATCCTGTCTGAGTTGCACTATAGGATGTGACGTGGCCTAAGCTGGAGATGGACTCAAGCACGACGGGATTTAGATGTAAAATTTCAAGTGTGGCAGTGAATCTAGGTTTGACAAGGTTCCTGCACGTCACAGGAAGGAGAGGCAAAAGATTCTCTTTGGCTTGGCTTCTTGTGCAAAGCAAAGTAAATGTGAGAGGCTGGACAAGCTGGGAACCATTTGAAAAGTGTACCCTCAACACTGCTGACTTACCCACACTGACTTGAGGTCATTTGCTCCACCCACAGAAGATTTTGCTATAATCCCAGAAGTTGCATAAGCACCCACAAAAATTTAAGAAAAAAATCATGAAAAGTTGTAGAACTACATAACTTTGGCATAAGGAGCCAAGCATCTCTTTCAACTGTCTCTCACTGGATATCCTGAGCAAATTAAGTTCCTTTTGGCTCAGTAACTTTTTAAAAAACATTTTCTCTAAATTGGCATACCTGCTTCTAACAGCTGTCTTTAATAGTTAGTTACAAACATGACTCTGCTAGGACAGGCCCCTGATTTGATAAATAAAATAAAATAAATCCATGAGAGTTCCCCTTTTTACCAGTCCAGTTTATCCCAGCATAACCAGGGCTGAGCAGACCTACTGACGTCTTTGTCTTTACATGCTTCAATTACACGAAGAACGATTGTAGCTGCATTAAAGCACTGCCACATACAGAGTCAAAATTACAGTTTTGATTGCCACATGGAAGAAAAATGAGTCAAAGATGAAGTTCCCTCAGTAAAAAAAGTTGTCATGAAGTAGAAAGAAGTGTAATCTCACAGAAGGGGGCATCCAGGCTGTGTCTAACAACACACAGTTCACGCTCATACAAGCTTCAACATCTTGGAAAAAAATATGATGATGACATAGGAAACCAGATATTTTTCAATATTGACAAAACCTTATTTTCCTAAATATCTGAAGCATTGGCAACTCTCTAGATTCTCTTGGTTAAGAAAAATCAGTTTACATGTTCTGAATTACCTATATTTTACCTAAGTTTTATATAAACTCTTAAGTGGTTCCTTAAATAGGTAGGGACTAATATGCTACAGCTTTACTTCAGCCAGCTGGTTTTGAATGAGCAAAACCTTGCCTGCATTAATTTATGGACCATCACCCTTCAGTGTGTGCAGAGGAAGACTATTTCTTGTTCACCAGACTGTTATGGGTTGAGCTGTGATGTGAATTATTGTTTCTTTAGTGCAGTAGGACTCATCTTTGCAATTAATGCGATTAATAAAATGGCAGTAATTAAAAAAAAAAAACAAACAAAAAAGTCATACAGGTTTACATTTTTTTTTTGGTTGTGTTTTTTAGATTTCTTTCCACACAAGAATATTCTCTTTCAAGGAATGGGGATCCCTTTCATTCCTTGTTTTATTTTGTCAGTATAAACTAACAGGGAGTTTGTCAGGCAGCGTAAACTCTTTCTGACAGACCATGACTGAGCACACATCCTCAAGATGTTTACAAAATTTAGGAGATTTCTTTAAGGCAAGGGGGAAAACAGTGATAAAATCAGTTTTCTGCAGGTATTTTTCGGATTGCTTGCCTATTCTACAAATCCAACTGTCAATATTGACATACATATAATTATACAATATAAGCTACGCTTTCTGTAATGATCTAATTTGCAGATTCTCCAAGAATGAACAATTCAGTATTTTTAACAGAACCAGTTATTCAATTTTTTTGAGAGAGCTGCTGTATACTTTGCCTCACACAAATGGCTGGTGCCATACCTTTGGATCCAGGCCGAGTCCTGCTCGTGTCAAGATAATTGAAAGAGCAATATTCCTCAGTGCTGCAGACCAGCGTACGTTTATCTGGACAAAGTCGCTAATGAACGGAGTATTTCGGATTAGGAAACCAGCAAGCAGCATCCCTTAAATGAAAGCAGATGAAAGCTCCTGTAAATGATTTGGTTTTACTGCACGAGAAAAGCTTGCAGGGCATTCTTAAAAATAGACACCATATTATTTATTTACGAGAGGAGAAAGTAACAATTCCTGTTCTGAATTATTAGACATGTTGTAACAATGGGACTGAGTCATGAAAAGAGAGAAACGTGTTTAAAGCAGTGGAAGTGGTCTAAGAAAACAGAGGTCACCAACAAATCCTGCAAGATGCTGACACCCAGTTTTAGTCTGATTCAACAGAATTTGGCTTTGTACACCAGGTGCAGGTTGATTACTTACCATAAGCAAAGACACCTTTGCATCCTTACAGATTTTTTTTTCTTCTTAGCTTGTTTTACCATGAAAAGAGGAAGATCTTCTAATACTGTGTATCAATCTCAGAAGCTGGAAATCGTTAAAAGTCCTCTTAGGTGTAAGAAATGCAGGTGTCACAAGAACCATAATGCTGAGTTCGGGGAAATATAATCTAAAACAGCTAATCATGGACTAACTTAGAGATTTTAAAGTGCTCTGGCAATCTGACTCCTACACAAAGGGGAAAAAGGGGGCAGGGAAATCAGAAACTTGGTGTTATCCTCAATTGGAGCTACTTGCAAATATCAGTGAAACTGTTGAATCAGAGAATTCCTGCAAAGCTATTGGAACTGCAGCTCCAGAAGGATATGGAAAAGTATAGGAGAAGTTGACTATAGATATAGATCTGCAGAGATTCATGGTAAATCTTGATAATTCAAAGATACATTTTTGTGGCGTAATGTTATATTAGTCATGTTTAGAAAGAGGAAACAAAAAAAGACAAAAAGTAAATAATCATTGTGCTCAGATTGCTCTCAGCTTGGTGTGAGCCTCAACTGTGGACTTGATTTGTCCTGTAACACTCCAAACATTGCTCTTCCCTTACCACCTCCTGGAAAAAAAGCGTGGCATAATTAATTTGCAGTACCCCATGACAATTATATAAGGGTAGTATAATGATCACATGCTCTTTGCAATGCTTGCATATGAGGTCCAAGTCACCAGAACTACCCTGATCTAGAAATCTACTTAACAAAGCAAAAGTCTCCACCTGAAAGGGTATCTTCGCTGTTCTGCTCCACGTTGCCTGCTGCAGAAACCTCTCTGCAATGTGTACCTAAAGTATACTGTGTGGTTGTTTCAGTACCAATTTCACTCCTTTTTTCCTGAAACACAGGCTCACTATAAGGTGCTTAAGTGCTTAGCCAGCCACACTACACTCTATTGCACCTAGCACAAGTGGGTTAAATGTGTGTAAGAGTACCAGATTTGCATTTTTAGTGTAAAACCAGGATATTCAAAGACACTGTCCATCTCTTCTTCTGACTCATAGATTTCTCCAATTTTCCTCAAAGACTGGGGATCGGAACAATGAACCCGGTCCTAAACAACTCAACAGACATGTGCTGTCACGCTTAAGTTTCTGTTGTCCAGTATTACCTGTCTGACAAGCACTTTCGTGCTCAACTCATAACTTTTAGATACAGACATAATTAAAAAAAAAACAAACACCAAACAAACAGAATCCAAATGGTCAGAAACATTTTTATTTGTTTAAGGGGGGGGGTGTTTACCTGCGTGTGACATTCTGTGTTCATATTACTGCAGGCACGCATGTTCTATGCAAAACTTCCCTCCCTCTCATTTGAATTTTTTCTTGCTGGTGAAACTAAGCACTGCAAGAACGCACATGCTGCCTCATGGAAGACTGTATGAGTCTCAACACCAGCTGTGCAGGTTACAAAGTCACACCTGTGCACTACAGGCAGGTATCTGTAAGCACACTCTGCCATGAAGTGTCATTGTCTTTCAACAGCTTTACTCACTTACGCAGTAAGCATAGCAAGGGGACAGCACGCAGCTGGTGAGAAGAACCTGGAGCTTCACTTTCCAGTTTCACTGACATCACAGCACTTTACAATATTGCACTGATATAAGCAAAACTGAAACCTCCTCTAGGAAAGAAGTCTCAAAACATTCCAAAGATGTTATTCTCATCTCACATTTCTACTTTGCATTTCTACGTATAATAAAATAGGATGTTGATGTGAAAAACAATCTTATGACTGATTCAGAATGACTCTCTTCAGAAGAATTATTCTTTGTGGTGAATTTACTTTCTCATGTTTCAGTTATCTTGAGATAAAGGAAGGAGAAAAAAGAAATTCTTTGGACTACTACTAGTAGGGAATTCGTATAATGTTTTTTTCTGAAAATGTTTTCATTGTGTAAGAAACCAATGAAATGGCTCAGCAATAGTTTTGCTATGAATTTATTATTCTACTACAACAAGAGGTCTGGATTAAGATTCCTGTTTGGTATTATTCAACCCAAATTTTAAGTAACTGTGACAGAGGGGACTGGAGGAATCTGTAGTCTGAATCTGTAGTCTGAATCTGAAGTCTGAATCTGTAGCTATACGGTTCTCTGACCCCCAAAGAATTAAGAGAAGAGCCTTAGTAACAATTTCACCTGAGCCAGTTTGGGGAATTTTGCATCCTCTTGAAGAGGACCAGAAAATGTCATTTGGAAAAGGTACAGATTTGGAGTGTGACACAGTTTGCTCGTTCCCAATCTAAACGTGCCTAGCCTGCTAATACTGCCTGGTGATTTAAACAACACAAAACATGCAGGAAGAAAAGAAGGAAGGATATCTTACCCAGAAGAGCAGGGAGAGGGGGTAGCGTTCGTATTTTGATGAGTCCAAATGTTTTACCTCCAATGACAGCAAAAAAATAAAGAAACAGAATTCCAAACAGATTTCCACCTGGGAGACACTCAGCCCCAGTTATGGACCAAACCACAGCCCAAACCAGGACCACGACTGCAACTGGAAGAAACCAAGAAATATTCATTTTTAATAATCTCTCAGGAATAACTTTGCTGTTGGATCACATTTGTTTTTCTCCTGAAGAAAAAAGTTACCTCGACTTACAGAAATAAAATTACTTGTCTTACAAATTAGTTTAATCATAACAATTCATTTAATCATAACAATGCATTTAATCCTTGATGGTCCCTAAACTGATGTTCTGATTTTATAGATGCTAAGATACTTTAAAAAAACGGTTACAGGAACATCATTAGAGATCAGAATGTACAGAGTGAGCCTTGGGCCACTGTGGAAAGCATTTCACAAGTTCCAAATTTAAAGCAAAGACTTTCACTAACTTATCTTGCATTTGCTTATCTTCCTTCAGCTACTTCAGAACCACAGTGAAATCTGCTACTGAACAGCCTGGCATATCTTCAAGCTCATGACTGCAGCTCCAGTCTAATTTTAAAAAGAATCGAAGAAAAATTTTTGGGCTGGATCTGCTTGTACAATACATTGTTATCCATGGGAAAAACATTCTGAAGAAGGTCACGTCTCTGGACATGACCTCTTCTCATGATCATGGGAAAATATACTGCATTTTCAGATTGGATTTTTCTTAATCTTACTTGAGGGTGACAAGTGTCAAAGGGAAAATCAGATTTCCAAACATAAAAGCCTCAGAATCCCAAGTGAGGGTGAATGGAGGCTGTGGAAACAGCCAAAGCCACAGGATGTGTCTTTTGTTAGGAAAAAGTTTAAGTAACTTGCTAGCTAAGCACCTCTTCTGTGAGGTTTAAGTTCAGGACAAATCTAAACCAAAATGGGTCAGTTTGCTTTGTAGTAGGATTCCTGGCTTTGCAAGCCTGGGATATTAAGGAACAAAAGAAGATATCACTGCAAAGTCTTGTATTTATTGCCTTAATTAAACAAAGAGCCATCCCGTATGCCAAATATACCACTGTGTTTAGAATCACCTTAATGCTCTCATACCAAAACAAAATATCAAGGCAAAAATTAGGAGGTCTTTCTTCTGATGAAAACAGTCTGCAGTGCAAAAACATATCTACCGTGATAAACATGTAAGACAGGATGGAGAAACAAAAACTGAACATTCAAATCTTTGTTTTACTTCTTTTTTTTTTCTGCTAAAACATTAAAACAAAATTCTGATAAGTAAAACACAGCTGTTTCCCTTCATTATTTTAAAGGACAATGGACAGATATCATCCCATTCAGAGAAACAAGTACTATTCTCATTTTAATCAAACTCTGTCTTTCTTACATACCATTTGTCACTGTTTGGGCCAGTAAACCCTGAGGAGGACAAGCAAATATTTGCCTCCATGTTCTCCCAGGTATTGAAGACCCTGCTGTTGGCTCTGGAGGTTGCTGAGCACAGTGGTTCAAGAGAGCAGTTTCTTCTGTTTGTGTATTCCCATCGGTACCTTTGGCATCTGCTGTTGGTCCCTGCTGAATGAAAACAAGGAGGCTCTCTCAGAGGTGGCACTGTACGTATCTGAAGTAGTGCACAAGACCTGAAGTCACCTGGGATGCACTAGATCCACACTGGCTACAGATGACTACATTAACTAAACAACCACATCCAGCTTTGTAGTTTGACGTTTATGGTTACGTGTTTGTTTTTATCATGGCACAAAGAACTGCATGGGAGAGACTGCAGGCCATTTGCCTTTTATATGCAACTGTCCCAACACAAACAGCACCTGTGCAGCAACAATATCTGCATATTTGATGAAGAAACAATAATAACAGACCAGGCTCAGCTTGTCTTGTATACAAACTAAATAGTTATTAAAATTTTCTACAATTTGATAGGGCTCTGCTTCCAGACTGGATTTCACAATAAAGTTAACAATTAGCATAATTCCAGTGAGACACTGTCTTTAATGTAACTCCTAAATAACTCCTGTTGCAAAGCCTTGAACCAAAATAACAAAACAAATATGAAAGAAACAGAACAGCTGGCCAGTGCAAGCATTACTCACATGATCCATTGCTGGAAGGCTCAAGCTGGTAAATCAAAGTAGAGATGGAGAAATACTACCCTGGGAGTTATTCCCTTGAAGAATGGTTCCTTGAAACTGTTCTCTTATACTGATACAACTACTTATCCATATTCATAGCCAAAGCACTTTTTGACCATTTTTGGATATGTGTCTCACTTCATTTTAGTGTCTTTATTTTTGACAAGTTAATCATCCACCTTCCCTTATGATTATTCACCTTCATGTCAGCTCATTGTCATAGTGAAGACATGGAGTTCTGCCTCTAATGTGGCCCTCCCCCACTAAAATACTTCCACATTCCTGATTATTTATCTGTCTCGACCCTCTCTCACTCTCTCTATATATAAATTCCTTACTCAGAGTCACGATTGGAACACAAATCTTGTGAGCCTTCAGCATGGAATTACTTGTTTATCTACCCTGTGATTCTGTGATCACCATGTGCATATGATCGCCATGTGCATAAAGATACAGCACGCAGTACTTACCTTTATACTTAATATTCTATGCTTACCTTTCAGTGCCTTTTATGTTAAACATTTTACTCGTACTTGCATTTACTTCCAAGTCTTTTTTAAAGCCATAGGTGTTTCCAAGAATACTGGAAATAGGCATAGAAGCTTAAAAGTGTGGACTTTTAATATTTTTATTAGATAAGAAATATGCATTAACAACTTTCAGCAAGTGGACTGATAAGTGCAATTTGAAAGCCAAGAAGTAATCTTAAGGCCACATAATTTTCTTCCATAAAATGTATGCTGATACATTTTCCACCTCAAGCAACCACTGATTTCCAGCAATCCAACATACCACAGACTATACAAACTGAACATGCGTTAATTATAAGAAATTCCCACTAAGGAGATTTCTATGTGCATTTTCTTCAGATTCAGGGATTTTAACAATATAGGAAGAAAAAGGAGAGGAAAAGGAGGGTTCCCTCTGACTAGAATTGTACTTAGAGATCTGAGTTAATTACCTCGCTTTGCTCGTGCATAGGAATCATGCCATTCCTCTCATTTACTGATGGCTCAGAATCTTCACTGTTGTCTACATCTTCCTTTACCATTGCTGCAAACCTAAGGAAAGCATTAAAGATGGAAAAGTTAGAGAGATGCAAATAACACTGTTTTCCAAATGGAACACTTCTCAGTGGTGTCTTTTCCCCATAGCTCAAGTGAAAAACTCTCACAGCCCACTTCCAGATTTAATGGTTTTTGCATGCATCTGTATGCTGTATGTAAGAACAAGAGACAGAAACTAACAGAAGAACAGTATTAAGCTTACAAAGACAAGAAATAATAAAATAAAAAAATCTAAGTTTTAGGATCACAATGATCTGTGCTAACCTGTTCATTCCTCCTTAAAAGTATAGCTGTAATATATATATATATAATCTATATATCTATTTGTGCCTCTTATCAGCACACAGATAAAGGTTATTTGCTGTCAACACCACTTAGGAGGACCACTAGTTCTGAAAGTGTCAGAGGCCCTATGTGCATGGCACTGCAAGTGACCATTTATTAAAGTTAAAACAACAACTACAGTTTCTAAAGCTCCAGGGGATTACTAAAGATTCATGAGTGGACACTTTTCACCTAACTTAAGCCTGACCAGATCCAGCTTGATTTGCAGGGCAAATTTCAAGAGCATGGCTCTGTTAGATGCCACTAGTCACAAACACATTGACTGAATATATAAGTAAGAGAAGATGCCTTTGAATCTATGAATGAAGGTCAGGACTATTCACAATTTGCAGTCTGTATTCAGGTTAGCCTCTTTTACTGCTTATATTCCATGGAGAGACTTCTCAGAGTGGGAAGTAAGGTCCATGTTGTTTGTTGGTTAAATTGTGATTGTATTTGCTCAGTCTAACTGGTCCACTTCTTGTAGATTCTAACAGGACATATGGCAGTGCACTGTTTTGTGTGTCAGATTTTTTGGGGGCAAACATTTACTGTAGTTTCACAAGTCTGGGCCAGCAAGAGTTGCATGCAAATATCTGAAGACAAGGCTTGCTAGTATTCTTCTCTGTTACAGAAAGCTGTGCATATATTCTCCATGAGCTAAATTTCTTAAAAATCTCTTACATTGCTCTGACCATCTAAAACACCAGTGAAGTTAAGCCAGAACTTCTGAGCCAAGAAATTCCTTCCTTTCTAAATTGTTGGAAGTCAGAGCTGATTCTCACAATTATCAAGCCTTCAGTTTATAATGAAATATTTGATATTTAGGAATGATAGATACCATAAACAAAGACAGGCCAGTGTAGTTTTGTTTGAGCTATTCTGATAAGAAACTGGCTTGAGGCAAGCTAAGGCAAACACTTTCAAATGTGTTCTAAGGTAAGAGTTTTGCTTTATTTCCTTTTTAAAAGTAAACTGTTTAAGTTTACTCCAAACCCAGTACTTTTCTAGATTTTTAATTACTACTTGTGGAACCAAATAGTTGAGTTCTTAAGAGTTCTTTAATGACATCAGCAGTACTTTTGGGTTTGTTTTTTTTTTCATCCCTTCATTAGGCCTGGGTATGCACAAATGCCAGTTGTACTAACTGTACTAACTGTAACTAACAATAGAAAGTTATCAGCAACCTACCAATGCCTCCCTCCTTCCCTTCACTGACCTCTTTCCCAGTGTTTCTGTACTTAATTTTGTACTTGTGAAAGGGGCGTGTGTGGGTAAAAGACAGAAAGATATTGTTCCCCATCCATCTCTGCACGGACAACATCCCAGTTCATGGGATCACACTGTTGTGAAAATGCACATATGAAAATACATTAACATTAAATTAATATGAAAATACATTAACACTTCTGAGAAAGGCAGGTTCACCTTGCCACAGCTTCAGCTTCTGAATGCGCTGTTCACAATAGCATATGAAAGAAAGGATTGACTAAGCAGGGAGATGAATGAATTCTGCTTAATAGGAATGGTTTCCAGGTGTGAACGAGAAATCTAATAGTGTATGTGCTGTCCTTATCTGTTTTGTGACAGGTCTTCACCCTGTTAGTAGGATCAAGAACGCACTTTTAAAGCGATCCAGTTGGATCAATGGGACCAGTGATCCAATACATGGATTATAAATATTATAAATAATCAGTGAGTGGTTAGTGTACTTACATTAGGGAGTTATCAGTCTTCTGGGGGTTCACTGTAATTCTTTTTTCCCAAGGGGGAAGGCATTTTTTTGTTTTTTAAACTTCACCCCCTATTCAATCAAAATCAGTGATTGAGAAATCATAGAGTGGAATTCATACCATAGGCCTGTACCATGGAAACCAGCCAATAACAGACTTATTTTAGTACCTCCCTGGAAAATACACTTTCCTTATTCTGAAACCAGAGAGGTTTTTATTAGATCCTATCATTTTACTTGGTTTTAATGGGTAAGGAGGAGGAAAGAGAGGGACAGCTGACAGACAGGGACAGCACGTTCATGCCTATGCCATTAGCTCTGTTGCCTTGGTGACTCTCTACGTTCTGCTTCGCACACGGACGGCACAGAGAGGAATATAAATAAAATACCACAAGCATCGCCAGAGCAGCTGGCATTCAGAATAAACGATTAAAACCCCCGAACAACCTAAACCACGCATTACATCCACAGAAAAGGCGCTAAGTAAACCCCGCTGCAGCCACCTGCCTGCCAAGCCAGCCAACGCTGCCCGCCGGTCACCCCTCCTGCCGCCTCCCGCTGCAGGGAACGGGGATGGAATGGGACAGAACGGCAGAAAACTCACCTGGGGAACAGCAGGGACCAGAGCGAGGGAACCGCTCCCTGCGGGGACGGGGAGGCGACAACCCTCTCCCGGCCCGCGGCAGCAGCTCCGCCGGGACGGCTCCCGCTCCGGCTCCTCCTCCCCCGCTGCTGCTGCTGGCGCCACAGTCCCTCCTCCAAAACCACAGCTGCACCAGGCCCCCAGCGAAAGCCTCCTGCTGGAGCCCGGGATGCCCAAAAGGGCGTCCCGGATGGCTGAGTGAACGGGTCGCAGGAGATGGGGGCGCTCAGCTGTCAGGTTGGTTTGAGCGATGGACTAGACCTGAGCCCATCCAAGGCTCAGGATACCTTATCGGGGAGCCCAGGAGGATGTAGATTTTTGTGTCTTTCCAGCCCTTTGCTTCTCTTTGACATTCATTGCATCCTGTACACATGGAGAAGGCTTTCTGTGCTGCGTTCCCCGTGGCTGTGGGAAGATGCATGGGGAAGCTACACACAGTCCGCTAACTCAGACACTGCAGTTGGAGGCTTGGTGAAAGGAAAGGATAAGGAGCTCTTGTTGATTCTGCCCTGGGTTCATGTAGAAGAAATGCACTGTGGCAGGCAGGAGAATTAAAAAAAAAACCTAAACCCCACCCCAAACAAAACCAGCTTGCATATTATGGTGTTCCTAGCAATATTTCTAGTTCCTAAAGATAAAACAAGCGCAGTCACCTCATCTGTAAATGCAGATGAGGAAATGAAACAGACTTACTTTCAACTCTGCTCTTAGTATCATTACACAGAACTAAGCTGACTACAAATTCAAGAGAAAAAAAAACCAGGTTTTTGATCAGATTAATTTTTCCAGAAGGACTCTGAATTGTGGAAATCTTTTGCCTCCCTCCCCCACAAGAGAAAAGTTTGACCTAGAATCTGAAAAGTCATAAAGCCTCTTTATATTATCACTGGAGTGGAAGGACAACAAAGAGAATTACCCAGTTCCATTAAAAACAGACCAGGGAACTAAGAGGTCACAAGAGCATTAAGAAGCATTTTCTTTTAATGATTCCCGCAAGTCTGCTGAAAAACCCCATGACAGAACACATTTCAGAATTGCAGCTGTTAACATATCCATGAAAAGTATCACTAATAAGGCAAAAGACAGCAAGCTCTGCTGATTTTTATTTTTCTGCTGCACCAGATTCTTGGTGTACCACTAAAAAAGCCCTTGCAGAAGTGCTTTGACCATTAAAAAAAAAAAAAAAAAAAAAAGGCATTTTTGAGTAGCATTTCTATACTACAATCATCAGTAAGCTTACAAACGTTAAGTAATAAAGTTCAATGTCCTATAAGTATAATGAATTTTCTCTCATTCTTAATTATATTTTCAGAATACACAGTGCAAGTTTCCTGTGTTACTGTAGTAGGTAAATTCTCTCTTTTCAAGGTAAGCCTTCTATGCCTACCACAGAAGCAGGATTTTGGCCTTCACATTAAACCCTATAACCGTTGAAACAGTATCCTGGCAGCCTGAACTTTTAACATTTGAATTTATGTCAGTGAACATTGGTGGAGCCATTTTGGATAACTTTGGACTTCTGCCTCAGCTTGATCCTGCTTGGCTGCCAGGGTCACTTGATTGAAATACTAGATTCTCTAAAACCCCATAAACAAACTACACGAGGCCAGAGCGCGCCAACCATGATTAAAGGTAAAGGTTAAACACATAATGAGCCTGAGGACGGCAACAAACACAGTAATTGTAATTTTCTCGTTTCTGAAATTTACATTTACTTACAGTTTTAAAGTAACAGCCCTGATTTTAACTAGACACGTTCCATTATCTTTGAAATCAGGTAATTTATATTAACACTTCAACTAATATTGAAAAGCTTAAGCAATAATTTTATAAACATGACAGTTGTTGTTACAGAAACACACACAAAATATTTTACATTTTTTCCTGTACTTTGATTACTGATGAATCATACTCAGAAGCATTTATTCTTTAATTCCTCCTTACATATATATTTGATGTATATGATTATATATATGAAATTACATATAGCTTCATTCATGAACTAGATAAATGGAGCTGTGAGCAATTGTTAAAAGTATCCATTTTTATAGGCAGGCAGCCCATGTCATTCATGTTGGGTTTAAGCAGTATGTTAGCAAAACAAATACTTTTTGGATTTCAGGTTATTCATTGCCTCTGGGTCAGGATCTATGTTTTTTACTCAGAGTATAAGACTTTACAATAATAGGTTTCTGTTTCATCATCATACGCTACCATATGCTAGCACAACAGAAACGTCAACACACACTCCTGTAGAAACAGTCCTTTTCAGAGAAACTTTGCCTTGTGTTTTAGTATGAACTGTATTAGTACTTGTGAATAAAGCATAGAGCACCAAAGCATAGCACCTAGCATACAGAGTTTACAATATTTATCCAATATTAGGGCATCATTTTGGGGAAGAATATATTGGCTCTATCTAGAGTGGTAAAATCCACTCCTTTTGCTTTTATGCCAGAAGTGAAGCATATGCATAAAGATCCACCCATGTATTTCAGAATGTTTCTCCCACATATCCCCCCCATCCATGCCTGCTAAAGTGATGTCCTCGCATAGTACCTTCTGTATATGAAAGCAGAGGAGAGGAGATACAGTAATGATACTTCCAAGACCATTTTAGAAGTGATCTATACAATTAATGAAACAGTTCTGGTCTCTATTTCTCCTCTTTTGTACCAGTTATGTAGTCATTTTATAACTGATTATATCACTACATGTCTCTTAGCTCAACATGCTCTAAGCTTTAGTCTTAACCATTAGAGCAGGCTCCTCTCTACCGTTTCTGCTTCATGAAGACAGTGCCTACAGTGGTTACGTGCTTAAACAAAAAAACTCTCCCAAACTCCAGAATGTGGCCAATCCTCTTGCTTCTAATGGTAATCTGTTGCCCTGCCTTTTGCATTACTGCTTTTCCAGATTTCAGCAGCCTAATTTGCCCAGGATCTGGAAAATGGACATTTCAGTTGCACAGAACAGCTGTGCAAGTACACTGGCTCTTTGATGTGTGTGCAGGAAGTTCATTTGCTCACACACCACATATCTACATGTCTGACTAGCTTGCAGCTCTGACTTTGGATCTGTAAGTGTTGTCAGGCTTGGAACATTCTTTTCAACAATTCAGACTGTTGTTCTACAGCTATTAGAGTTCTAAAATATTTTTTTAACGATAGTACAGAACAGAAAACCACTTATTTCATAACGTGCAAAGCAGAATATGCTTTGAACTACAGTTTGCAACTAGTATGTTTTCTTATTACAGAAACATCTGGTACCAGTAAGAAAATGATTCAGACATTCAGATCTTCAAATTTATTATTATTTCTGCTTTATTCTGTTTAAACCATACTTCGTTCAGGATCCCTTTGGCTGATTTCATAGTTGTTGCTCCATTTTATCTGGATAGTCTGTCAATGCTAGTAGAAAATCTAAATGTGAATGTTTAATTTCCAAATACTTTGTAAGATGAGAATAAAGACAGTATTCAATTCCTCTCACTCATATTTGCTTAAAACACAACTCAGAGTTTGTACCTTGAGTAATATTTTTGGCCCTCTGAAATCTTAAACATTCTTTCATGTTTTTGAACTGCCATAAACTGAAGCCACATAAAGTACATTTTACTCCATTGTTTCACTGTTTAAGGAAAAGTGAATCAGTAAGATCAGTCTAGAAAGAGTGAAAGTGAAGCAAATAGCAGTAAAAATGCAGCAAATTTGTTTGGAAAGATATCATGTGCGTGATCTAAATCTTTGCAAGAAACACCATCCTCACTTTTTGCCTTTCATGGTATAAATTTCCATTTGCAGGGAGGGTCAATCACAAGCTCCATCCTCCATCGATGATTAGTTCATTGCCAGTCACATAGGCAGACTGAAATTACATAAAAAGAACAATGATTGGAACTAATTTTTCATGGCTGTTAATTATAGGGAAACTCTACTTCTTTAAATTCAAAAATCTGCTTTCTTTTTGTACAAACCCCTTTTTTTTTATTTTACAAAAATACCTAAATAAATAATAAAATATCTGAATATAAACTTTGAAATTGAAGCCTTTCAGTTAACTCAAGGGAGTATGACTAAAGTATTATCAGAGGCATTAAGATGAGAATGCATCCTGAGTGTACAAATTCACATAAGCTAGACTTCAGATAGCTTACCTGTAGAAATAAATGCCTCACACTATGTTGTTATTAGCTCTGTTCATATGAGCAGAATCTGACCAGGGCAGGCAATAATTATGAGGAGACCTAACTGAAAATTTAGATGATGCAGAGAGTGTGGTAAGCAACTGAGCTGTTGACATTCTTCTCTATGTCAGTACTGAAGCATACTGAATTTATCGAAAAACTAGAATTCTGTCTTACACATGGCTGAAAACCCTATAAGCTGACTGGAAAAAATTAGTAGTGTTACAAAAATACTATAATCAAGATGAAACTGAGCAACAGATTACTGATAGATAGCAACATTAAGACTGAATTAAGTCCATGAAAATATTTTGACATGCACATTAGGACTGCTGGACAAGTCCAGAGGAATCCAGTCCAGTTTTTGAGTCACAGTAAATTTATAGCAGATGGAATAACATTGATGTGTGCTCATTAGTGCTGGTGGTATTTGCAGTGGTCCTCAAGAGTTGGGTGTATAACGACCTCAGTGGGTCAATTGTTTTCCTTATGCTGAAAGGGCACATTCACTCTGAGCATTAGCTAAAATCTCCAGCAGTTCTACACAAATATTTTGCCCTTGAATACCAAAGGTAGGTGGTGACTACTAATTCTACCTCCTTAGAACATGATCTAGCCATGGTGCAAGCTTGGAAAAAGAAAACAAGCTCATTTCTTCTAACCATTCAAGATGATCTGGGGACAGTCAATTTGCTCAGATGACATGAAACCACCAGGCCTGTGTACCTAATGCCTTGCAATCACTGTCAACATTCAGAGTACTTTTTGTGTTACAGGTTGAACTCAGTAAACTAAGATGGCCACTTTTTTTATTTTTCTAATAATCCAGCTCAAAGACAATATAAATCATTCTGAAACAAATGCTGTGTACTGTGAGGCAGTGAAGGAGTGTGGGGATGCTGTGACAGGACATTTTATTGTTCTGTACTTACTTCATCAGAAGCCAGGTACACACAGAGATGGGCCACTTCTTCAGCAGTAGCCATCCTACCAGTCTTCTGTCTGGCTAGAAAGTCTTTCAGTGCCTGGATACACAAGAGTATTTGGTATATCAAAAATAAAAACCAATTATTTTAATCTGTTGACATGTACAAGGCAATATTGGAAACAGGCCTCTAGTCATAACTTCCTTTTGTGCACTGAGTAGGGAACTTATCCTAGAAAAATATAAGATGTGAATTTCAGGCTGGAAAAAAAGTATGAGACTTTTAGACAGCACCTAAATCTCTGCTTCCAGAATAAAGGCAACGTAAATCCTTCTTCCTTTGGTGGTAGATATTCCAGGTGCTTCAAATGAGAGCTTACAGTTATCTAGTCGGTACGGTTAAGCATCCCAAATAATGTTGAAATGCATAGGCCAGAATGCCCTTCCTAGATTATGGTTTTGCACTAGTTTGTGGCTGCCACAGGCCACAGTAGAAAATGTCCTCTATTTTTGCATTGGATACTGTAATCAACAGTTGCAATTTCTTCCCAGGATGACAGACCCTACAGACCCTCTGTTTTCACTAAGTGATAGTATCCTTCCAAGGCATTTTAAGACTGTGGAGTAGAAGCTTATCAAAGGAGACACTACTGTTAAGTTATCCATGGTACTCTGAAATCAGTAACATTCTTGAATATGGACAGAAGTGCCACTATATATTAATTGGTGTGTTTGTTGTTTTTTAAGAGAGTTAAACATTTGTGTGCACAGGTCAAGCTAATAAATTGCTTTCTCACCTGTTCTGGGTTAGGCCGGGCTTTGATTCTCTCCTGTAAAGATGGTGTGTCAACAGTTCCTAAGCAAAATTTTAAATTTAGTTTTAAAACTCAATTACATCAGGAATCATGACAAAAAAATGCAGTTTATTTGTTCTATTTGTATGTCTTAATGTGTAACTTCATAATATAATTCAGGAGAAAGACTGCAAAACCACCAGTATAGCATAGGATTCTAAATTTCAATAGAAGGCAAGAGTTTTGAGAATCAGATTCAATAATTTTCCGATGGTTAAACAGTGGCCAGCCCATAAGCTAGCCCTTGCCTTCTTCTGACTTCCTAAACTGTACCTTTGAAAACAAACTTTCAAATACTCTGTAACACATATATAAAGTGCACATACTGGATGAACAGATTAAACATACAGCTTAACCACAGAAGTAACAACTTTTCTATATTAAACCTCAGAAATCTTTCAGGCATGTCCTGTGCTTTTAGACTGCTGGTAAATTTAGTTGCCGCTGGCCAGTCTATTCTTTGTTAATAATGCCAAACTAAATCTGGCCTTCTAGTATCTGCTCCTAGTTCACAGAATAATGTAAGAACACTTACCAGGACATATGCAGTTGCATCTGATGCCTTGTTCAATAAAATCAGCAGCCACAGACTTTGTTAGTCCAATAACTGCTGCCTTTGAAGTGCTATATACACACCTGTTCACAACTCCTAAGAGAAGGTCCGTGTTAAGGCAGCGTAGAAAGATAGTTAAAAAGGAAAAAAAAAAAAAAAAAAAAAAAAAAAAAAAAAAAAAGAGAGAGACAAGTTTGTTCAGTAGGCACCTGCTTCTGGACTCCAGAATTTCCTGTAGCACGTGTATCCTCTCCATAAGGGCAGACTAGTTAGAATGCTGACTGCCACAATTCTACTCAGGCACACACCAGAGGAAAGCACACAATCTTTCAATAGTATAAGTTTGGGGAGTAGTCTAGAAAAGGTAACAAGGCAACAAAGATTTAGCAGCAGCAGAAACCCATCTGTTAGTCACCACCAGGCATCCTTGGGAAGCAAAGCTACAGCACTTATGAAATTGTCATTTCTTCATTGTTTCTCTGAAGAACATATGCAGCAAGATATCAGTGGAAGTAATTCCTTTTTAATTAATAAAAACTCGTAAAAAGGATGCTACAAAACATTGAAAAAGCTCAGAGGTAAGGATCTTGGCATTTCTGCGATTTTCCATGTTTCCTTGCACATATATGAGTTGATGTGCTCACTCACTCCTGTTTTTCTAAATATATCCCTCCATAGGATTTAGAAAGAACTTTGAATTTAGAATGTCCTCTAAATTCAAAGTTGTGCAATATATACTTTGCATGCCCATCATTTTAAAGTTTTATATAAGAAATTCTGGCAAGCTACTGACCTTTGATGCTGGATGCCACAGAAGACATATTTATAATATTGCCAGATTTCTGTTTAAGCATCTGCAAAAGAGTACTTACGTCATTCAAATGCAAACTATTTTGTTATCTGCAGGTTCAGTAAAATAGCCCACATCAACTCAAAGAACAGCCTTATGTGCAATTGGTACTCAGGGTGACAAAGCTTAACTGTCATGGATAGGTGCCATTGACTGAAGTTTTCACTCAGATTCTCCTAAGTAATGTCAGGATTGGAGACTATGCCAGGAAAAGTCTTTTTTCCTATATTGCCACCTCTGAATCATGGCCCTCTTGTCCCCACGGTAAGTTACCCTACACAGACATCTGCTCATGCCATCCACCAATGCAGCAATTCACTGATCCCATTCAAACCCTTTTTGTTTTGGAGAAGATTAAAACACAATACTCTGGCACCTTTGGATTGTAGCTAAATTTCTTTAAGTTATAACCTTTTTTAGGCATCCTAAAACCTGATATGCATGAAGTTGTTAGAAAAAAAACCAAACCAACTTTGAAAATTAAGTTCAGCTAAGAAAAAAAACCAAACCAAAGACCACCCACCAAACCAACCAAACAAAAAGGACTGAAACAATACTGAAAAAAGTAGTCATCAACCAGTCACAGTCACACCTCCCACATCTGGCCTTTGCATTTACAGGAGTACAAACACCTTATTCAGTCCACAGGTTTTTGTAGACCCAAACCTAGTTATTATGTCAAAAACAAGCATCCTCAAAACTGCTAGATTCATCAAACTGTTGTTCTGCTATAACCAGCATGTTAGCGTCAGTGTCACTGAATTGCTTCACAAGACAGTTTCCAGAGTTCCATAAAATTAATGTTAATATACATTATTTATAAATATTTTGTAGCAGTCGTATTGTGCAGTTCTGTGCTGTAGTATAATATGGTTGCCCTGTATTGCAATGGCTCCCTCACTGCTCAGCATTTGAAGGATTTTAGTTACAGATTACGTAGGGCAAACCCCTGAATTAATCTTCTCTACCAGATCCTTTGGATAAATTGTCTACTTAAAAGATTACACAATGCAGAGAATGCTTTACAGTATGATCACTGTAATCTAAGGGTTTCCCTGTCCAAAGCTGCATCCTTGCATTTTTATCTCAAATCCCATGCTGCCAGAGTGGCTAACTTAGACCTCTCACACTTACAACAGTGCAGCAGAGACTAGAAATCATAGGCAATCAAGCCTTACCTTTGGAAGGAATGTCTTGATCATTAAATACATGCTGCGAACATTGAGGTTCATAGTGAAGTTCCAGTCTTCCTCCTCACACTCCAGAATGGTTCCATGATGAACAAACCTAGAATAAGTGCAGGAAGTAGATTACTGTCTCTAGTTTACATTTCTGTGGGTTTTTATGCATGTTTTCTGTCACTATTTTGCAGTAGTTAACTCTTTCAACCTTGTAAAGGAGGGACAAGAGCTTTTTGAAAGAATGCAAGTACCAGTGATGAGTATCAAGGACACAAGGCAGACTCAATATGTGCAATGAAATACTTGGCAATAGAAAAAATAAGTAGAGCATTAGCAGACCATCAACTCTGCTCACTGTTGTGCTAGGAGGGCCAAAACCATCAGTATGGGGTACCCACAGAGTGGGGAAAATCTAAGTTCCAGAGCTGTTCTACCTTGTCCTGGGCAACGTGTCTGCACACAGAAAGTTCAGTTTTGATGAAACCACATTAAAAATTTGTATTAAAGTTACAAGATCCATTAAAATGAAAGAAATAAAATGCATTGAAATGACAAAGTACTTCTGGAGGACAGAGAAAACTGGAAAAAGAGTAGTATCAAAGAGAAGATCGTTACCCTGCAATGTTACAGAGGACGTCAATCTTTTCAAGCTCCTTGGCCAGATTTTCTATCTGCTCCTTTTTGGTAACATCCAGAACTCGTATTTGAATGCCTAGAAAAAAACAATGTATTTGCTTCAGTGCATTTGACTAAGGATCAGCAGATGATTTTTCTGAAGTGTTGAGGAATGCACTTAACAACTCAATTCAGTGAGAACTACACTTGATCATTAAGGTAGTGAAATGATTAAACTGAGACAGCAATGGACAGCATGTCATGCTATTTAAAATTTCAGGAGGGAATTAAGAAGATCAACTGTTTTGATTGCCATACAGCATCACACAAGCAGATGAGCTGGCATAATTTACCATAAAAGCATTCCAAATAAATTTGAATTCCACTATACTTTCAAATAGTAGAATTATAGAACCTATATAATCTTAATGAGCTTCCATGGTCATTAGCATAGAATAGTAATTATTTGAAACTAGTTACACCTGTCAGATATACTCACAATCACATTACATGCCATCTTCCCGTGTGTAGTTGACGATACTATGAATGAGTTTTATATAATTCAATTAATGAGGAAAAATGATTTTGCATAAATCATTATTATTTTGAAATCATGAGGGCAGTCACACTGGAACAGGGGCCTACGGAGGTTTATGAGGAAATTCCATCCTTGGAGATGTTCAGGACTTGATTCTACACAGCCCTGATCTCTAACCAGAGCCACTTTGAGCAGCAGATGGAACTACATGGCCTCCAGAAGTCTCATCCAGCATACGTGATTCTAGAAAATACTCTAAAGTTGTCTGTAAAGTATCTGAGTGTTGTCTAAATTAAGAGAGAATTTGATTTGAAATGGGTAAAAACCTGTTTCTTTTGAAGCCAAACTGACAAGTCCATGAACAAGCTTTATACGCCTTAGTTAAATGATGTAGACATTTTTGAAGAGATTTGTGCATAACGATGCAACCAGACTACAGGCTGGTTATTAACATCACACTGGAATTGCCTCTCACGGGTAAAATTCAAAGACCACAACATGCCAAGTCCAGATGAATTATGGACTGCCTAATCACGTGTCTAAAGAAGGGAAATGGCTCTGAGTATATGGAAAATCACTTCTTTTTTTTCTGAACATACTAGCAGAGGGAGAAAACGTAACACTTTCCCAAACACCCTGAGAAAGAACCTGGAAAGCCCTAAAGTTCCCAAAGAATTACAGTGGGATTGCTTATGGTTAATTCCAGTCAGTAGAGACGGATGTTCACACTAAAAGCTGTACTGGAGAAAAGTGGTTTTGTGTATTTTCCTGTCACCCTGTAATAAGAATTCATTAAATCTACTTTCTTCTGTCAAATTAAGTTGGAGACATTTTCAGTTGCAGAATATATTCAAGTCTTATTTTTCACTTCAATATTGAAAAAATGTTCCTATGGTATCAGTAGGAAAACAACCTTCAGGCCTGAACATTTGTACAAACAGAATAGGTGTATCTACTGTTGGTAAAGTGAGCTTCTGAAGATGTATTAATTCTACAAGACAGCAAGGAATGCATTAAAAGGAGAGCTAAGTGTGGACCATGGAAATGCAAGGCACTAAATCTACCTTCTTGTATAGCTGGATGTTATAGTCATCAGAGAAAAGCATTGTGTGCCTTCCAGAGCAATGCACTTGACAATCAGCCTAGTGATGCCAAAAGGGAACTGAAATGGGTGCCATTCTGGGAAACAAATATCAACTTCTGTGACACAAGAAACTCAGAGTTATTCCATATGCCTGGAATAATAATCTGTCTGATATGCTGATGTTGCAAAATTTTGCATGCTAAATCTCCACCATTTCACACCACAGAATAAAGCAGTAGCAACATGTAAAGAATTAGTTTGGATATTTTCCATTTTTTTCTGGCCTTTTGAATTTTTCCTATCCTCAAATTATATTTCAGACAGCCTACAACAAAACTTGGAAGAGCTGAACTAATGCCTACGTTTACCTGGATATTGCTCCAGTTCTTTCAGCTTGGACTCATTGATATCTGTAGCAATAACTTTGGCTCCTTCTTTAGCAAAGGCCTGAAGAATACAAGAAAAGCAGTTTATATTTAGATATTCAAGATCTTATCAGATATAAAATCTATTTTCTTCTCAGGTCTTTTTTGGCTTAAGGGTTGGTCAAAGGCATCTGATCTTATACTTTTAATGCTGGGCACAAGAAGTCAGAGAGTACTGGACATGAATGACTACATGATATAAGACAGACTTAAGATCTTTTCCTTAAAGTAAGGAATCCATAAATAAAGTATAAGAACACTAACTAGCCTAAGACAACTGATATCATTATTGCCCTTATTAGTTGCACTAGTAAGCACATTATAAATGTAGGGCTAGAATTGTCTGTATTGTTGGATTTAAGTGAAGTTGTGGGATTTGAGAGTTAAAGGCAGAAGCCATAAAAAGCAAATAGTGGTATATAAACTTTAACAAAATCTTTTGCATCCAAATCATTGGAATGGAACGATATTAAAGGCAGTGTGACTTTTCTTTGATGCTTAACCAGAGATATTCCTTCATTCTTGATGGTCCCCTCAAAACCCACTTTTTCTTTGTATTGTGATTACTGGCAAATCAACAGCTATCAAAGTAACCTCCGTGTCAAAAGTATGCTGACATCTTGGTCTGTAGCCCCTAATTCTTCAAAATAAGTGTCTCAAGTGCACCTTAAGAGGATAATGGCATTAAACATACCAGCCTTCCATGGCTTGTTGGGTATTTACAAAGTGAAATTATCAGGGAGATTACCTACTCCTTGACCGAGTGATTTATGTAAGAGCAAAGATCAGCAGTCATCTTCTAACCACATGCACAAGAAACTAACTAGTCTGGCAAAAATCCTACTTACAGGAGATTTTCCTGGGTTGTTGATTACATTAAAGAGGTACTGAGATAAATTTACTGGGTTTTTTATTTGCTATATTAAAGGGAAGTAAGCAGGAGAACTGGTCAAAAGAATTACCAGCTAAGTGGAAAGTTAATATATCTATTGAATTTTGTTTAACAGTAATCAAACAAAATTTGTAAAGGGTTTCTTATAGTTGCTCACTGTGAACCATGTTGTAGCTGTGTTCTTGTTAGTGTTGTGTAGACTTGGTTATGTCGACTCTGAATATAGATAAAATGTCTTGGCTTTATGGTAGGGGATCTTCACAATATTCAGCTTTAGACCAGAAAATATTCACTCTATCGTCCAGAACAAAGCAGCAGAGATACTGGATTAAAGGTACAGACAATACCAACAATATATTGTTAAAAAAGCAGTTGCAGCTGTTCTCAAATCTTGCTCTTATCCTTGCTGAACACCTCCACTCAGAGTTGAGTTTTTCAGAAATTCAAACAGCCCAAAGCCTGCATGATACAGTATAGTGGATATATTATTCCCCAGTTTTTTCAGTGCATAGTTCTGGCTTCACTTATGGTTTATTAATTCAAGAACAGGTTTGGTGCAGGTGCTTTTAGACAAGCGAGCATTAGAGACCTTGCTTAAGGTGCAGGAGAACAAACATTTTTCCAACTTACTATGGCAGCTGCTCGCCCGATGCCCTGTGCTGCTGCAGACAGCAGGATGATCTTCCCATCCAGCCGACCCATGGTGCCCACCTGTGCAGGCAGGAGATGTCACAGAAACTTTTAACAAAAACATGAACAAACTCCAACCCCTGGAAATCACATGCAAGTACATTCCAAAAAACTAGGCATGATCCAGAGTGTACCTCTGCCATCACAACTGTTCTTTTTGGCTGCAGCATGACCCTCAGGTTTCTGAGGGGCACAAGTGCTTCAATTTCCTTTTTTTTTTTTTTTTAATTTAAAATAATTATACATAAGGATCTCAAAGAAAAACAAAACCAAAAGGCATTTGATCTCAGGAGGTAGGTTTCATTATAACAGAAACTGGATTTTACTTTTTCTTAAACAGGCAGAAAAAAGAAATAAAGCCAGTATGAAACAGCAGTAGAATAGCTTGTAATCTAATGTTTCCACTGCCCATTGTGTACTTAGAAAGCAGGTCTTCCTTCTGTTTCTCTCAAACTACAAACTCTTCATAAATTCCATACAATACCCTGGTCGTGGTATCTGCTCTGGATTGTCTTCACAATCTTCCAGCACAGCAGATTCCCAGCTCCAACAAAGCAGGAAGGTGGGGGGGAGGAATGAAGTTGTCTTGTTTCCCCTCTCTGGCGTCGCTTGTTCTCAGGGAACCACTGAGCATGCCTGGGGCAAGCGGCAGGGAACCTTTAGGAGTTTCTGCCTTAGTCAATGTGTAGCAGCCAAAAGGCAAAACACAGCTCTATTCTGCCCCAGTGCTCACGTTCACATGCTATGTTAGATTTAAAGAAACACAGCGTGCAGAGCTGCAGACAAAAGAGTTAAAGCAAATGCCAACCCCTGACTCCTATGGATTTTTTGTTATTTAAGGAGAAAATGACTTAGTAGGAGGTTTCAAAGAAGTGCCTAAAAAGTAAAGGTCACTGCGTTCCAGTCAGAGTGTAGTATTTGGAGTTTGTTAACTGGGTTCCCCATAAGTAAAGTTTTCTGCAGTTTTATAACCCTCTGAGCAAACTTGGTGTGTGTAGCTGTGAACGTAGAAAGGTGTCGTAAGAACACAAAGTCTTTAAATATACACATGAATCCAACACACTAAGTTCTTCACTGGGAAGTTAAGATAAAGGTACCTTAATCTTCCTTACATTAGCTGCCGATGCTATCTTCTAGAGAAGCTCAGATCCATGCTGTGACTCAGATTACCAAATTGAATTTAGTATTCCACGTCTTAGATTATTAATTTCTCTTATTTGGATCAAAGACACATTGTTTTGCCAGATGTTTCTCCTGACAAAAGTTGTAGCGAAACTGTTTTCCTGAAGGTTACAGGTTCAACAAATCAGACTTCTGAAGCAATGGAACTGAAAAATTCTCTTCTTTCCAAAAGCCACCTCATCAGTTCAGTTACTTCCCCAAATCACCGTAACACATGGGAAGCAAAATGCATTATAAATACATTTTTCAATAAAGCAGTGAGGTTTTACCAACATTTGTCAGATTCTATGAAGCAGTTACAAATAAATAGTAATATAGTCACTTGCCAAAACATCTCAAACAGTTGTTACATTTACTGACCTTTGTGCAAAAGGAAGTTCTACACGTTTTTTACTGTGCTTGTTGGTATTTGTGTTTCTCTAAACGAACGTAATTTCCTGTTGAAACACTGAGATGCTGCCATCTAGTGAAACCTAAGATTTTAAAAGTGTGATTTTTCTCCTGCAAAGGAAAGGACAGAAAAGGATTGCCAGCATTAGCTTTCCCTTTTCCCTAAGTAATTCAAGAGGTCAGTAAAATTCCCACAAAAAAAGGCCACAAATATGTTTCTCCAAGCAATCTCTCTTTAGCAATATAAGCTATCAAATTCCAAACTAGGACAATACTTGGCATGATTAATATTTTTATTATTGTTAAACTGGTGATTCACCAACTTTGGTATCTAGTCGTTTAACTTTGTTAAAGCTGAGTTAATATCATCAGACTAGAAAATTGTAGGACAAAGTAATTTGGTTAGAAGCTCACACCTTAGAAGCTCTCTGAATGCAGACACAGACCTATTGCAATAAGTTTCTGCCTTTTTTTTTTCCTCAATCACCAGAAAAATCTCCAAATCTAGAAACATTCCAAGCAAGCAATAATTAACAAAAAAACTCCTGGAAATTGTTTATGAAAGAGGTAGCGCTCTCTCTCTCTATATATATACACCTTTTTCCCTTCTGGAAGAAAAAAAGACAGTTTAATTCATTTATTAGGACACCAAAATGCTAGTAAGCTGAAGGAAATATCTTTCAATCATAGTGGGAAATAAAAAAAAGCCAAAACCAAACAAAACACAAAGTCCCAAACCAATCCAAAAAATCCTCCAACCAGCCTGCAACAAATAAATTGCTCCTGCCTACCTATGGCTGTATTTAGAAGCTGTGTGTATTTTTGGCCAGTAATACCTTCAAATGCTTCCCAAAGCACATTACAGGTCAGAGATTGAGAGAGAAATGCTTGCAATTTCTTAGTAGTTACCACAGCTGGCAGTTTTCAGCTACTCAGGGTAAATAGATGGTTGGTTCTTTATTACAGATCTCTGAAGTACCTCCATCAGGTAAATAATCCTTGTGTGACTCTTCCAACTCCAGTAACTGTGGAACGCCCAGGAACATGTCAGCGTAGCCATTTGCTTATCAGTTTGGGTGACCCAAAATGGAATACTCACGAGACTGAGCATCACTCAGAGCTTTATTCCTTTAAAATAAGGATGATGCTCTTGATGCAGGTATCTTTCCTAAATACAGCTTTCTCATCTCATAATAATGGTTTCATTCTTAATGGAGTAGATCCAAGGCTTTGAGTGCCAAATTCCTATTTAGCTGGCAGTAGAGGGTGTGGGGGCAGGAAGGGGAGGAGGATCTATGGTTTAGACTTCAACCAGTTCCTGGCAGAGAAAGACTCAGAAAGAATTAAACAGAACTCCAGTGACAGACTTACGCAATAGTAAATTTCTGCACAAGTAATTGCTGCAGAAAGTTATAGAGAACAGAGACAAGAACGATAATAATGATGGAAGTCCTGAGATTAGTATAAAAAATAGTCTTTAGACACTGAATATTGTAACGAACATCCTTGGATCATAGCACAAAGTGAAGTGAACAACAGAAAACATTTTAAATACTTAACCCATTAAAATTTATTGTCAAATTTTCTTATATAAAACATACGTAAAAGTAGGTCACACAATACAGATAACTAGGCTAGCAAGAGAGTCCATCTTGCCTGAATGATCTGGTTTATGTTCCATTCACAAGAGTAGCAGAAAAGCATTAAGTCCATTGCTTAATATTAAAAAAACTCCAATACGTAACTTCAAACAGATATATTGAAAGATGGTGCAAAATTCAAAGTTACTCTTGGTATCATAATTGGCTGAGTTGCAGAAACTTTCCAAGGAGTTTAGGAGGAATCCTTGATTGTGTGTTACAGAAAATCAGTAACTTCAGTTGCAGTTTGTGGTGAAAATGCAGTTTCTGTGCACTTAGAGAAAGCATAGTATAAAAACCACATGCTGAGAAACAAAAAGAATATTTCCAAGTCAACAGCAAGTCTGAAGATACAAATATCAACCGTCCAGAAGGGGTCTGTTTTAGGAATGACAGAATGAAAAGTTTAAGACTGAGAAGTTTCACAGTAGGTTAGTTTGTGATCCATTTCCATTTTTTTCTTCAATACGTTATCTTTTCTTTCTTTTCCATCAAAAGCCCCCACAACATCAAAGTAGTATATCATCAGATAAGCAGGTTGTGGGCAACATGAGTGCTTTTCCATTTGGTCCTCAAATTTCAGCTTTCCCGATCATGGGAAGTAGCAACTCCAAGACAGCAAGGATGGAAGAGGCTGATGGCTTTTAACCTGAAGCAATTATCTTTTGTATGTGCAGATTCTGGCTGTAGCCACTGCAAAGGCAGCTTACAACAGAGCATCGTTACTGGGTGCTGCAATCAGGGGCCTTATCTTTGTCTGAAGTCCCAAACAAGTGCTTAAGATGTTCTTCTGTGGACTGTGTGGCCGCAGGACATGTATCTGTACAGAAGAGAAGAACATTAACACCTTTCTCAATTAGACAAGCTGTAAGAATATAGTGATTTAATCTCGACTAGTGTGTTGTATGTCAACTATCAAAGCTTCCCCTGAGTAGCTTTGTGTTGTGAAGAACTCTGCACTATTACCAAGTTGGCCATCACAAAAGCAGCAATGAGTCCTGTTCTTTCTGTGAGTCTGCTACTGATACCTCAAAAATGGGTTAACTCTTCGACATGTCTGTTGGGGCCTTCTGAAAGCCGTGAGAAGCAAGTGTAATGACGAGGGCAGTAGCATTAATACACTAGCAGAGACCACTAGGAAAGTGGTCACTACGAGGTGACTTCCCCAGAAGTCACCAGGCCAGATATAACAAATCCAGAGTGGGGCTGAGGAACAGAAGTCACCATCAAAACTGCTGTTACTGCAGCTGGAGCTCGGCAGTGTGGCAGATGCAACATCAAAGACTAAAGCCTACCATCTTGAAAAACTTCAGCAACAAGTTAACCAGCCGTTAACTTTCAGTAATTTTACCAGAAGCCTGGGATTAACCAATGCAAAGATAAAAAGCAAAACATTTTAGAGCATCCTTATCTAAAAAATGATATCTTGCTGATTCACTTTTAAAAACCAGTCATCAATATTTGCACTGCAGAAAAGAAAGAAGTTTGCATAATCTTCAGGAAGTGAATGACTCATTTAAGTATTTCTGTTATGTAGAGCATATATAAGCCTCACAGCTCCCATGGTCAGCTTTTCAACAGTCAGCTGAAACCATTCAGGAAAACTTTGTTATCATGCAACTTTCAGGTCTGAATATATAAGTACAGAGCACTTACCCCCAACTCAGACCATCCCTTATATTTTGCCTCTCCAAATCTTTACAGGACAATACCACCATGTTACATACCTGTTAGCATACCCAAGCTGGAATTATCAAAGAAATTTGTTGGACAAGTCAGTGGCAGAGGTTTTGATAGGGCCTGAGTTGCAATTTCCTGAGAAATAGGTTCCTTGGAGGGTGAAGGGATTTGTTCTTTAAAGAAATACGACCCTGCCTTTCTTGGAGACTGTGGTATTGTCTCTCGAGTATTTTCTCTTGAGGATCGTTCTCTCCATTTTAATGCTCTTTCTTTCCATTTCCTGAGTTCCTCTTTCAGCTGACGCTCATTACTGCAAAGAAAAATAAACCCCAGTATTTAATTAAGAAAAAAAAAAAAAAAAGACAGTTCATTTAAGGAAAAATTCCTGAACAACAGGCAGTTCCTATATTTTCAGGTGACATACTACAGACATGGCAATGCAATAGCTGTGTGTCTTGCTTTCAGAGGAAATTTTTTTTAAGCTAAAATTCTTTCCAGCATACAATTTAGGAGATTCTTACGAAAGTAAGCAATTGAAAGTTCCAAAACCATTTTAAAGTTTATAAGCCATAAATCACTAGCTTTAAGTAAAAATGTATAAAGTGAAAAAATCTAAAATTAATTTGTCACTTCTATAGGTGTCTGAGAAAGAAACACGTGCACAGTTAAATACAACAGATGTTTTGACATTTTGCTGGTCAGCTTTACACTTACCTCAGTAGAAGGTCATTTTGTTTCTTCAGGTGCAAGTTTTCTTTCTGTATCTTAGCTTGCTCAGATTTCAGAACAAGTATTTGTGTGCTCTGCACAATACCACTGCCACCACCACAAGTAAGGGGTATTTGGGATTGCTGAGGAGTTGCTTCTTTAAGCACTAGAAAAACAATTTTATACAGAGGTGTGTGCATTGTTTGGACAGGGCTTAAAACCAAGTCAATATACTTTTTAGCCCATTCATTCTTGTGGTCTTTTATGTAAAACCTCCCTAGGTTACAAGTGCCATTACAACAACTATTCTATTTTTCTACACAAACACACCTCCCAGCACTCCCACTGCCAGAGAGATACTAAGAAACATAAGATTCTTCATTGGGTCATTTAGACTTAAAATACTTATTGTTTCAGGTATGTCATAACTATGACTAGAACTAGGTATTCATATGTGCAGTCAGTCAAGGAAAAAATGGCAACACGAGCTACAACCACTGCAGCTTGTCTCTCCACAAGGGCAAATGTGGCCAGAGAAGTAAACACAAGAACTGCTGTCATTCTAATGCAGTGTATCTGGAGCTAATGTAGTCTGCTTTCCATCTCATCTTTCAATGCACCCAGCTCTCCTCATAGCCTTTGAAGTACAAGGCCTGCATCTCAATCTCATCTTTAACCCTATAACCTCAAAACTTAATGTCAAGAGTCCCTTCTATTTATCTTGAATTTACCAGTAACATCTTGGTCTTGGTGTGCTCTTCTAAGTTCTTCTTTTAGCTTTGTTAACTCTTGTTCTCGGTGTTCTGCAAGAGCTTTATAATTAGCAAGTCTATGAGGGAGGAAGGAGGGAAAAACAAACAAAACAGAAAACCTCAGTTAGTTTAATAGTTATTACAGTTGCAAAAGAGATAGTCTGAATTCCAGTGAGCTATCAAA